TTCTGCAAAAAAACAAAAACGTTTTGGCAAGCCTACATAGCCTACTAAGAAAGTTTCAACTTTCAAATGCTCTCAATTTCATAATGAAATTCGAACAATAAATATAATTTTGACGCTCTTTGATGTGATGACAGATCTCTGTAGCGCCTCAGGCATGAGAACGATCATCTCTTCCTCTTTAGCACTAGATACTAGGGCGGTGAACCTACACTGGTCTCACGGTTCGGTTCGATTACGATTATGTCACCGATTCAGCTCAATTCGATATTACGATGCACCACATCCTCAATTTTCAAAACTGATGTGTGTGCGCGTCGCAGTGACAGAAACAGTTTAAGTTTCAAGGGAGTAAAGCCTGTTTATGCCTGTCGAATTCTGTCAAAACAATTTTGTTTTAAAGAAATGTTAATTTAAGCCTAAAACCGTATTCTGGACAAATGTGGGCAAAAATAGCTTGATTTATTTTTTAAAAATACTTCCCTTGATCTGAGCTGTACAAGACTTGGCTACTTTTCCTAAGTTTGCCTCCTGACCACACACAATTTTTTTTTTTGCTCAATTTAAGTGGGTGAAAAAAAATCCTTAATCTTGTTTTTGAGTCATAAATGGGCACCCATAGAAATGAATGGGAAAAACTGTAATTTAGAGCATTCGAAAATAAGCCAAAATAAGACACCAGGTGACGGCAAAGTCACTTCACCTTTAGGTTTTAGCTTATAAGAACTTATTGGAATGATATTTTAATGTAGTTAAAATTAAAAACATAAAAATAAGCATAATTTACATAGAAAATATGGTACTTTTTGAAGTAAATAAATTCAAAAATACCCCCAAAATAAAAAAAAAACATCATAAATGATTAGACAAAACTTTATCGAAGACAGTGATATGACATTTATAATAAATAAAAATTAGGATCACACCTGAATCCTCTGTGCTCACATTTGTCCACAATTAAGGGCTATAAAGTGAATACGGTTTGAGGGCTACAAGCAGCGCTCATTCATCGGTGTATAATGTTGGTATAAAGAAATGCACGCATCAACCGTCACAGAGTCCGCTGTTGAAGGTGACGATCATTCATTTATAATCACGCGTAACAACTCGTTAGTTAGCTAGATAAAATAACTTAATATTTTATAAGTTCTTAAGTACAACTAATTTTTTGAGTGTTGATTTTGATTATTAATTGATTTTCATTAGTTAACTGATTATAAAATAAACTTTATTTTCAGTTTCGAGCTGATTGGAAACTTGAATTTCGTGTTTGGGTGCATCATTAAAATCAACCTATGGTAAAATATCATTATAGAAACAACCAATCGCTATCCAGTATGCAATTGATAGGAGAAATCAGACCAATCATAGTTCATCATCATGATTGTTTGTTCTCATAGGAGCATCGGGATGAGTACCTGACCTCCATCCCACAGGAGGTCTGCCTCTCGTTTGTCAAAATCATCCAGGAGGTTTTGGGTTCGCCTCCAGACCTGGACCTGCTGCGGCTGGTCTATAACTTCCTGTTGGCCGTTCACCCCCCCACCAACACTTACGTGTGCCACACACCCACCAGCTTCTACTTCTCTCTGCACATCGGTAAGCAAACTTTTTGGAAACCAGTATCCGATGTAGTCACACTCACTAAAAGAAAAGTGCACTAAAGAGGATCGTTCTGTCTACATTTTATAACCATCATGCCTTATGACTCACTTTATTTAATGAAACTAAAAAACAAAAGTCAATGATTAACCAAATGTTGAAGCTGCTTCTGGCTTTGTGATTCACAGAAGATGAAGAACAAATATACAGGTTTTATATGAGACGATGAGAAAATAGAAATATAATTTTTGGGTCACCTCTTTTTTACCCCTTAATTTGACTTTGTCTGAAAATTGTTACTAAACAAAACTTACACCAGGTCTATGTGGGATACAAAACCATATATATAACTTACAGCTCATTCATATTAGTAACCATTCTGAGGTGTTGCGCTTCCAGTGTAGAAAATAGGGCTGGGTAATAAATATTGATTTCTCAATATTAATCGATTCTCATTTTTACGAACCGATATCGATTCTTAAATCTTCATTTGAATGAATGGATCATTGTATCGCGGCTGCGCGCATCCAAAAAATCGCAATAATCGTTGTCCTTTGTTACTATTGATATGAAACAAAGTCTCAATTTTCACATTACGTCCATTTTCTTTTGAAATTAAAAAACATAAATAGCGTTTTGTCGCTGTGGCGTGAGATCGCTCTGGAGAAGCAGCAGCGCTGATCTCTCTTCCGGCTTAATAATACCAGTCACAGCGCCAAATAAACATGAATGAGCATCTGAAAGTGTGTTAAAGATAGAGTACAACTTATCCAAATCCGGATCATGTCACATTGATTCACAATCAGCGTTTCAACCGTGGAAAGACGTCAGTTAAACAGCTTGTAATCAATGTCATCGTCATATTTACCTCAGAAAACCCACATCAACTCGTTAGTCAGCTAGAAAAAATAACTCTAGAGAGGAGCATTTTGCTAAATATATACACCATATTACATATGCATTATAATCTTAATGTTCTTCAATATTTAATGCATATTTGAATAAATCTGGCAAGTTTTTATGACAGTCACCATTTAAATGTTTATATTTCATATAATCTTCTTATTATAAAAATAAATAAAAGTGTAATTTAAGTGTTTGTATAGCTACAAAACAGTTCATTATTACCTTCATATTAGGCTAATGAAGTCTATTGGCTACAACTAGACTCCCATAGTTTACAGCATTAGTTCAGAGATTTGATTCCCTTGAGAAAAATGGCCATTTATTGTAACTGATATCCAAAATAATCGATATTGAATCGAATCGGAATCGAATCGAATTGTGAAATTTGTGTCAATACCCAGCCCTAGTAGAAACTCTAGTAAACAAGAAGATTTTAGTTCATGCTAAATCATGTTTTCTTGTTGTGGCGTCAGATGGTAAGATGTACCAGGAGAAGGTTCAGTCCATGATGTTCCTGCGACACTCGAGCAGTGGAGGGAAGTCAGCCTGCAGCTCTGTGCTTTCACTCTCTCCCACCGTCTTCACCGAGATGCCCACCGATGGGAACGCATCACTGCCGCCCACTTCCCCCAAGCCCAGAGGTCAGTGCCTCCTCCAGACACATTAAACCAGCAGACTAATAATCATTAATGCAGTTATTCACGAGAAGGTCAATGAAAAATAAATGGTCTCACTTCACAAGCATTATTCTAAACTAAAAATGTCCCTATCTGGCTGTATGGCACTTCTGCGTCTTATAGAGTTTGAAACACATGACCTTTGACGAATACAAAATCAATTACAGCACAAACCTGCCTCTGTCAAGTCAACGTCAAATTTATTTGTATTGCACTTTCATAATACACATTTCAAAGCAGCTTTAAAGAAAATTATGATGTTAATGTTTATAATAATTAAAATAGAAACTGACCTGAAAACATTTAATAGAAAGGTGAAACACTGGCTGAAAGAAAATCAAATATGAGGACATTGACTGTGCTGGATGTGATGTGTTGTTTTGTGTAATGTGGTCGGGATTGTGTAAAAAAAAAAATTAATTGCGATTAATCGCATCCAAAATAAAAGTCTGTGTTTACATAATATATTTGTGTGTGCTGTACATATAAATACACACACATGCATGTATATATTTAAGAAAATGTGTTATTCAAATATAAAATATTTATATTTATATAAAATAGATTATGTATTTATAAATATATACAGAATTTAAGCGCAAATAATTCTTAAATATATACATGCATGCATAGGTATTTATATATACAAAATAATTATATACAGCACACACAAATATATTATGTAAACACAGACTTTTATTTTGGATGTGGTTAATCGCAATTAACTTTTTGCACAGCCCTATATTTGATACATGATTGTGCAATGTGTGCTATGTTTTAGTAATATGTTTTTTTAGAAAGGCCTGACCAGGGACTCGGGTTGCAAATTAGTCTACTGGCTAGAAACCTTTTTATGCAACACATTTACACATTTTGTTATGGCTTTGCCTATTACAACTATGTATGGAATAATGTGCGCTGCATTGTCCCTGACAAATAAACTAGGACTGTGCAAAAATTAATTGCGATTAATCGCATCCAAAATAAAAGTCTGTGTTTACATAATATATCTATATAATTATTTTGTACTGTATGTAAATACTTATGCATGCATGTATATATTTAAGAATTACTTGCGCTTAAATTCTGTATATATATATAAATACATAATCTATATTATATAAACATAAATATTTTATATATGAATAACACATTTTCTTAAATATATACATGCATGTTTGTGTATTTATAATATACAAAATAATTATATTATGTAAACACAGACTTTTATTTTGGATGCGATTAATCACAATTCATTTTTGCACAGCCCTAAAATAAACTGATAAATAAAATAAAATAAATAAATAAATAAAATAAAAATCTTAATATCACTTTGCTAGAAGCGAGACAGCGGCCTAAAAAAGACTGTAAAGCTGCTTTAAAACAATCTATATTGGTAAAAGCGCTGTATGAACTTGACTAAATAATGTGTTTTTTTTGTCCCACAGTTCGCCACACTTCTTCCCCCAATCATGCAGATGAAGATCTGTCTCTTCGGCCTCCTAACACACATCCCTCTCCTCACGCTTCTCCAGCCCTGACGCCCCGTCTGGCTCACGGGAGCGTGACCGGGACCACGGAGCCTGAAGATGGGGCGTCCCTCATTACCCAGCATGCCCTGGGCAGCACAGAGACCCTGAAGCGGGGCGTAGACGAGCAGCTTCTCAGCAGCTGCGAGTCTGCAAAGACCATTTGTGATTCTCAGATTGCGGGTGTTGATGAGGAGGGAAGCATCGTGGGAAACCGAACGCCCTCGATTAGTGTAGAAGAGGAGCATGATGGGCCAGCCGAAAGCCCGGTGGACTCGGAGGACCATTTGGATTGGACCAGCGAGGAAGCGCCACGCCGACCCGACAGCCTGAAGGGAATCCAGTCCTTCCAGAGGAGCCACAGTAACCTGGCCAGTCTGGGCTTGGCGTTTCCCGCGCAGAACGGCTCTCTGACTATCGCTCGCTGGCCCACCGTGACTGACCGTGCCGCCCCCCCGGACGACTGGGAAAGCTACACATACTCACCCGGTTATGACAGACACAGCAAGTCGGACTCCAGTAATGACAGGTATTACTTTATACTGTTAAATAGAGGGTGTGCGTTGACATCACATGTGTTTTCTCAGATCTGATTTATCAAAACGACACCTGGTCACATAAACGTGTTTTCGCAAAACGGATCTAAATCCGATCTTCAATTCCTGCGCTATATGCAGATTTAACCCTTGTGCATCCTTATGGACATTTTTGTTGTCCTTGTTTTTTTGATCGCTTTGCCTGTGTTAAAGCTACAGTAACTGCAAAAAAAAAAAAAAAATGGCACAGGTGTGTTTTTTTATTGGAATTTTACTATTTCACCGTTATTTTCTTAAAAAAAATATTTTTTGCATTAGGTACAAAAAATACTCCCTCTCAGCACCTTTTGGACAAAAATGTCCCCATTAAAACTGCCATTTTTAATCCCCGGTTCAGTTAACTATAAAATTATGCAATCTTTGTTAAGAGGCTTTCATTCTGATGGCAAGGCTTGAAATTTGTATTTTTTACTATTTTTTATCAGATGGTGTCTTTTTTTTAAGTTTGGCCTATAAAACAAATATCCCTTTATTCCTGTTTTCTGCTTCGGCATACTATAGAGCCAACTAGAAAAATTATGTGTGTGTTGGTATGGATGTCAGAGTGTGGTTAGTATGTGTGTTATAAAAAAATATGTGTGTGTTTGTAATACCGAGAGAGAAAAACTGCAATCACTGTGAGCTCCAGTGGGGTTTTGCTGGCACCCAATGGGGAAAATATGTGTAGCACTGAAAAACAAAACAGTTTCTGGGTAATTGCCTCCTGCCTTCGTCATCACTGTTTCTGTGCTAAACACATATCTATAATCAGTTGAACTCATTAAAAGTATTAGTCCCCAAGTATACAAGTCCCCCTGTTGTGAAAAATTTTGTTTATGTGTCTATGTGGTGATTTTAATATGCTATAAGACAAAATTAAATTTAAGTTCATAAGTCGACGGCATTGCTGAGTATTTCCTCCTTAAAACTGCAGTGAACCAAAGACAGTCTCAAAAACACGCTTTGAAATCGCTGAACCACAAACCACCTTGTAACCAATCAGATCAACGTGTGATCGTCAACCAGTGGATCTCTGAGTGAGTGAGTGAGTGGAGGTGGAGCTCATTTGCATAGTCATAGAACCACGCGTACTAAATGAGGCAAGGGTGTCGAGTTACATTCAAGATATTTTAAGGCTTGAAGTTTTTTTTGTTTGTTTTTAGGAAAAAACTTTTCAATATGTCATTTTGATGATCATAGTTGATTTTAAGGGATAAAATGATTGACTACACAGGAACTTTACCAACTTTTAATCCTGAGATCCAATCCATAAACAAACCATATTTTTGGTTAGGCTCTGAGTCACAGCCGAGGATCTGGCGTTTTAGATGTGTGTGTTCTGGTTGTTTCAGGTCCAGTGCAGAAGACTGTCTGGTTCTGATCTGCTGCGGTCTGTATGATCTGCTGAGAGGAGTTCTGCTTCTGCTGCCGGACGTCCTGTTGGAGGAGGTGATGGATAAACTGATCCAGCCCGAGGCTCTTCTCGTCCTCGTCAACCACTCCTCTCCTCTCATACAGCAGGGCGTCATGAAGGTCTATCCATCTCTCGATCTATTTACATTTACATTTATTCATTTAGCAGTCGCTTTTATCCAAAGCGACTTACAAATGAGAGCAATAGAAGCAGTAGGACATAAACATTCACATTTATTCATGTAGCTCCTGGACGCCTACTTCACCCGCGCTCAGAAAGAACAGAAGGAGAAGTTCCTGAAGAACCATGGGTTCTCACTGCTGGCCAATCAGCTGTTCCTGCACCAGGGGTCACATGGTCTGCTGGAGTGTTTCCTCGAGATGCTGTTCGGTCGACCGGTGGGGCTCGAGGAAGAGTGAGTGTGTGTGCGAACAGTCTAGAACTGGCGACATGACCATCTGTGGTGAATGCCTCTTACGATGGGTTTGTGGGCTCATTTAGCATATTTGGACATTTAGCTCCAGAGTATAAAATTAGCCACACACGCTAGTGGAGGGTGATTTGATTAAATGTATCGGCTATATTGTTTATTTATGAAAATCAAACTTTTATTATTTTCATGTAAAATATGTTGTATATATATATATATATATATATGTTGTCATTAACTATTTTTTTTATCCTTTAAGTTTAAAGAAATATAATAAATATTGTTCAAAATAAAGATAATAAAAGAAACTTAAACTTATTTTATTTTAGTTTGTTGCCATGTGTTGGCTATTAATGTTTTATTTTTTAATTTCTTAATTTTACTGTAAATTAAACAGAAATGTATTTTTTTTTATTAAAAATGTTATAAAACTATTATAAAATATTTTTCATTTCCATAATGTTATCATTAACTAAAACTACAAATATATATATTTTACATTTTTTTAAAGAAATAAAAAAAAACTTTAACTGAAAAAAAAAATATGAGTTTAAGTTAAAGAACTAAAATGTATATATATATAATTACATTTACAACTGAAATAAAACTGAATAAAAAAATTAAATAGAAAAAAACAACAGCATTGAAACATTACCTAAAATTAAAATCCAAAAAAATAAAAAATAAAATAAAATATTAATAAATACTATAATATATTCGAGATAACCTATATATAGCCTATAATTTTGTTTATTTTTTTTTTCGTTAAGGAATATGTGGCAGGAAACGCATTCAAGAAACTCCTGCATGATTTCTAAATGAACCATTACCCAACATTGCCCTTGTCAATAACCACAATCCTCTCTTCTCCCAGCCTGGATCTGGAAGACATGGAGAACATCTCCCCGTTCAGGAGGCGTTGCATCATCCCAGTGCTGGGTCTGCTGGAGAACTCTCTGTACGAGAACTCGCTGGTGCACAACGGCCTGTGTCTTCTTCTGCAGCTCCTCAACGCCTGCCCGAAGCTGGCCGACATCTTACTGGACCACGGCTTACTCTACGTGCTCTTCAACACGCTCTCCACCCTCAACGGCCTGGAGAACGGGTAATGTGCCTTAGCCAGACGCACACTGAGATTTATAATAGTCCTTTACGATTGTTTCTAATCAGACTGTACGAACTAGGCATGTGCCGGTATCAAATTTTCATGCTGCGGTTAATTGATTGAGCTTTTATCACGGTATACGGTATTATCACGATATTTTAATGAAATTAATATTTTAATGCTCAAGAAAAATTGTGGGTCTCTAAAAAAACCCCCAACTTTTTTAAATAGTTAGTTTTAAACTATTTAAAGAATTTTTTAAAGTTTAGTGACAACATGTTACAATGTTTATGGTACAATGACTGGTAGGTTACTGTTTGTATTACAACATGAAATGTAAACAGGAAAAACAAGCAATACATTGACACTAGAAAAAACCCTTTATAATGTCAGCATTTTTATAACCGTTTTGGTCTCATTTGGTCGGGGAAAAAAATAATAATTAGCTATTATTATTACAGTTTTCTAGGCTGATCCCGATTTCCGATTTTTCCTTGAGTTTGACGTGCCGGTACCGATTTCATTTTTTCAAACCACTTTACAGCACACACAAATATTTATTTTCTATCTTCTCTTTAATACAACATTTTGCATAGAGCATTTTTGAACAGATAATCACTAAATTCACACACATCTAAAATGCAGTGTTATGGAAGAACCATGTCCTTTTCACCTCCAATAACCAACTAAACAAGATTTATATATAGCAAACTAAACTGGTAATGGCAATAAAATAATATATATTTATATAGCCTTGCAGCATATAGATATTTCTCTCTCACACACACACAAGCCTATTGCAATCACTTGTACATCAATGGCAAGTTATTATATATTTTCTATTATATTTTTCATAGGGCCCTAAATAATTATGTTTGTTCTTTTGTTGTTATTGTTTATTCTAACTGTGTTGTTAAATTGTAAAAGTTTCATGATTTCAGTGATTTAGGCATGCTTTTTGATTTTGATTGACCATCAAAACAGAATCCATTACATTGGACCCTACTTCTCTAGTCTAATGTGAAAGACTATACATAATAACTACAGTAAGTCAACTCTTTCTTATGTTGTTGGCTCTGTAGGATTCCTCCGAATGACTACAAACTGGTGGTGTGTGACATTCAGCAGCTGTTGGTGGCCGTCACCATCCACTCCTGCAGCTCCTCGGGCTCTCAGTACTTCCGCATCATTGAAGACCTGATCACCCTGTTGGGCTACATGCAAACCAGCAAAGTTCGGCGCACGCAGGGTAAAAACAAAGACTTTTGTGTGACGATGATGCGGTATGTGACGCGTCATTCGAATGTAATGGGAGATATTTCGTCTTTCAGAAATGGCCCTGGCGCTGCAGTTCCGCGTGATACAGGCAGCCATTGATTTCATCAAGACCACAGCCAATCAGGACCCTCAGAAATCAGGCAGCTACGTGCACGTCCCCACCTCGCCACATCACGCTCTACAGCAGAAGCGCAAAAGCATCGCAGGTGAGACAGTTTAGAGTTGAAAGAGTTTTTTTCTGAAAATTTCTTGATGCAATTGACCGAAACTGAAAATAAATCAATAAATTATTCAAACTTAATAAATAATCAACACTCAAATTGCTAAAACTGAGTTGTACACTTTATGTGTTAAATGGGTTTTTTTTGCCACGGAAAAAATATATATATATGAAGAGTTCAGATGCAAAAGCCTCTAAATGCCATTTGAAATTTTCTTCTTTAATGATGATTTTTGTCAAACTTGTATATTTAACTCCAGTAATTTCACTTAAATAACAATTAATAGGTAATTATCATTGGCATTTAAGTGAAATCACTGAACTTAAATATACAAGTTTGACAAAAATCATCATTAAAGAAGAAAATTTCAAATGGCATTTAGAGGCTTTTGCATCTGAACTCTTTATATATATATATATATATATATATATATATTTATTTATTTTTATTTTTTTTTCAAAAAAATTATTAATGCAGTATTTTAGTTTAATATAGAGTCTAGGCCTTCAGAAAAAAATATTTTTTGAAGAAAATTAGCACCATCTGGTTACAGTAAAGAGAAAAGGCGTAGAATATATATTTGAAACGATCTCAAAAACGATTTTTTTATTTTAAAAAATGTAAAAAATAAATAAATAAATAAAAATTTGTGAATTTTTGTGTTTTTGTCAATTTCCCATTCATTTCCTATGGGGGTCATTTTTGACCAAAGACCACAAGTGTGACTATTTTTTAAGACCACTTAGCATGCTCAGATCATGACCTCAATTTTTTTGTGTGTTCACATACATAATTCCAGAAATGTCACCAAATTTTGTAACATTACGATGAAGCTGTGATTTTTAAAAAGTCAAAACAGATTTTTTGTAGTCTGAATTTTAATGGTGTGTATGTGTATAAAAGTGTGTTTGTATGTGTGTGTGGGTGTAAATTTTTTGCACTCTAGATGTTGTAGAGTGTCACCCCTTTACTGTGGTATACTTCTTTTAAGAATCGTGGCAGATTTGTAAATTGTATGTTTTTTTTGGATGTTTTTTTTGTAAATATCCCATTCATTTCCTATGGGTCGGTCATTTTTGACCGAAGACCACAAGTGTGACTATTTTTTTTCCGACCACTTAGCCTGCTCGAATCATGACCTCATTTTTTTTTCGTATTCACATACATAATGCCATAAAAGTCACCAAGTTTCATAACATTCCTTGTTTAAGGTGAACTGTTCCATTAATTTCCATATCCATGTGTCTTAATGTGTTTCATCTTGTCTTAACCATCAGCCCTGGATGTCACGCTTGTTTGTTCATGTGTTTTTGTTGTATCATCACCTCCCCTCACACTCCCAAGGTTCAATGGGGCTGAAAGACTCCATAATTCCCCGTATTCCCCGGCAGCACTACTGCTCGTACGGCCTGATCCCTCTGCCCTCCCCGTTCAGCTTCTTGTCCCAGGATTCCCCCCTCCCTTCCCCAACCGGACCACACTCCTACACGTTCCCCTCAGACACAGGTAGCCATCGACCCCATTCGCACCGATGGGCGACAACATCCTGGCTCTCTCAGGGATGTTGGTCGTGTGAAAGTGAACTGATTAAAGCTTGTGTGTCTCCAAACTACTGGAGCCTGTGTGTGCTTTAACATGAACGATCCAAGACTAAACACACACAGTCTTGAGTCGGAGTTGCACCAGGCCTCTAAAAGTGTTTTTGCAACTCTGTGTGTTTATCATCCTCTCTCATTTACACCATGGCACTAACATCCATCTAGGATTAAAAAAAAAACATTGATCAAATTGATTTAATTGATCAAAAGTGACATTTATAATGTTACAAAATATTCTATTTCAAATAAATGCATTTCTTTTTAACTTTTTTTTTTATTAAAGAATCTTCAAAAGAAAAAGTTTAAAAAAAATATAAGCAGCACAACTGTTTTCAACATTGATAATAATCAGAAATGTTTCTTGAGCATCAAATCAGATTATTAGAACGATAGATTCATTAGATACATTTGTTACTAAAACATGATTTAAATAAAGTATTAGTAAATGTTGAAATGCTGTATAAGTGCAGTTCATTATTTGTTCATGTTAACTAATGAACCGAATGATTTCTGAAGGATCATGTGACTAAAGACTGGATTAATGATGCTGAAAATTCAGCTTTGATCACAGGAATAAATTACATTATTTAGTATATTCACATAGAAAACAGTTATTTTATGTTGTAATAATCTGTCAAATTTGTTTTTGCAATTTAAACTGGACTATCTAAACTAATGCACCCTGATGAATCCTAAAAACATTTAAGGCTCACCTACTCGTACAATATATATCCATTGAGACAAGTTTTAAGCTTTGCTAGCTAGGATGCATGTGACATGTCGGGTGTAAATGACCACCTGCCTTGTCTAACCACTTAGCCTCAATCAAGGTTGTTTTTAATACCTGCGTCTGTCTGTCTATGTGTTTATGAGATGATGAGATATTGACATTAATATCCTTTGCTCTTCACACACGTTCACTACATGCATGTTTTGATCAGGTCGGCGGCGGTTCACGCTGGCCCAGTCGGACTCGTTGCTGACGCGAATGCGCTCCGTGGCCAGCGATGAACTCACTGAGATGATGCAGCGCAGAATGAGTCAAGAAAACCCCATCAGAGCCAGCGAGACGGAGCTGGTCCAGCGACTGCAGAGACTCGTGGTTCTGGCCGTTAACAGACTCATCTATCAAGGTACTGTACATACGACAAACATCATTGAACATTTAATATTCAACAATATTATTCATCTGCCTGCATTGACACCATTATATGAGAACATAGCTGAGCTGGACGATGACATCACCGTTTTCTCCAGAGCGGCTATATATACACACACATACTATGTATGTATATACAGTATATATATATCCCTCAGGTGCTCTCCGTTTCGGAGTCACACTTGTTATCTTCCCGGTCAAAAGTGACCGGACACCTAAAAATTAAATTTCCTCCATCCCAGTAAAACCAATGCAATTTAGTTTTGTTCTATAATATTTATTCTTTGTAATTTAGTATTTTTAGACAATTTTGTTAGGGGTTAACAGTTAAAGGACCCAGAACCAGATATGAAGAATGAAGACCCGGAGTCAGAATTATAAAAAATTAAAGAAAAGTTTACTGAACATAGTTTGCCATTTCATCAGCAGAAGTCAGCTTCAAGACTCACTCAGGAGTTCGTAGGCCGCCCCCTTACAGTTACAACAATCACAGCAGTTATACCATTTTCAAGGTCTAAGCTACGTCATTGCTTACACGTTGAATGATTCTCATTGGCTAAGATATAGATACACAGTAATTTTCCACACATATACAGATAGACGAAACATATCTCCATCGATGAGGCACGTCATGACCTTCCAGGTCACAGATTTGGGTTGCTGGCGCCAGTGTGTCCAGAACAACAACTTATTCAACCTCCAATAATGGCAGTGGTTGCTTAACCTGCAACCAAGAAGACTAGCACTAAACTTTAGTCTAACTGGAGTAAGACTTCAACAAAGAAATAGTGCCTTAAACTGTTGGCTTCAAAGACCCGTTTATGTTTTAACACTCAAACATAAACCAAATCCCTATTTCCCTATTATTTTCACTGTTACTGCATTCACATAGGACACTAGCAAATAGGAGCTCCCATCAAGGCTGAAGAGAGTCTGAGCGGCTTATTATCAGTTAAGTGTACCAAAACATAATGGTAAAACATTCGCTCGTTTGGGAGAAAAACAGATAACATTTGCTTCTCAGAAAGCAAATATAATAGAAAGAATACAGTTTAATATAACAATTAAAGTTCAATAAAGCAATGCTCAATATAGCTTGACCATCTGTACAGAGAAGTATCATATGTGTTGGACATATGTGTTCACGACGCCTTTATGATCCATAAACCTTTCTCCTGAGACCAGAGAAAGAGACAAATGGCCTTGTGCACCTAAAAGAAGCTGGTGACTTGTGCATGTACATCAGCATGCATTTAAGAATATTATTTCACAAGCAAAAGCACAAAGAATACATTTATGTCAATAAATGATTAAGTAACAATAAACATACTTAATTATAAAAGAAATACATAATCATTCAAAATTATATTATGAAATATATACTGAAGAGGCAAGGGATTTTGACCACCCCTTCAATTTGAATTTATTAATATTTATGCAATATTTATGGTCTATTTTTGCCATGGAAAAATGTATATATTTTTCTATATATATTCTGTTTTTCAAAAAATTATTAATGCAGTATTTTAGTTTAATATAGAGTCTTGGCCTTCAGAAAAAAAATATTTTTTGAAGAAAATTAGCACCATCTGGTTACAGTATAGAGAAAAAGCAGAGAATCATGGGGTCATGTACAGCTCTCTATGGAGAAGCATGTGAATTACCCAGATGTTTATGAACAGATGATTTTTTTTTTTTGGTGGATTTGAATATAAAGTTGAAACAATCTCAAAAACAATTTTTTATTTAAAAAATGTAAAAAAATAAATAAAAATTTGTGAATTTTTGTGTTTTTTTCAATTTCCCATTCATTTCCTATGGGGGTAATTTTTGACCGAAGACCACAAGTGTGACTATTTTTTTACGACCACTTAGCATGCTAGGATCATGACCTCAATTTTTTTGTGTGTTCACATACATAATGCCATAAAAGTCACCAAGTTTCGTAACATTCCGATGAAGCTGTGATTTTTTAAAATTTCAAAACAAAATTTTTCGGTCTGAAATGACCGAAGAGCACCTGAGGGATATATATATATATATATATTAGGGGTGTAACGGCACAAGTGTATCGTATTGAATCGAACCATGGATTTTGTGAACCGTTACACCCCTAATATATATATATATACTATTTTCTATTTTCACTATTTTCTTAATTGCATTATTTTCCTGTTCGAACCATGGTACTTGTTTGTTAGTGACAACAAGAAACAATCCATGTAGGCTGAATAAATTTGTCATTATTTTTCAGATGTCAACCATGATTTCTTTGACCTCCTGAACTTTCCTGAGTCTCCTGATCATTCGATGTCCATGCCGTTATCTGGCGAACAGACGTCTGAGGAGAACGGCTCGACGCCCTCCACGCCGCTCCCGCCGGGAAACACCAAGAGCTTCAGCAAAGACATTCTCAAACTAATGATGGAGGGCATAAAGATCAGCTTGGTGAGTCACAGCAGGCCTCAGTGTTTCTTAAAGTCAACATGAAATCAAATTACCCTCTTTTGTTTGTTACTGGTTATATTTTTGGTATTCAGTGCACATTGTTCCAAAGACATTTCTTCTTGAAACAACTTGTCACCACCATTATCTTGGAATTATCTTCCTTTCTCAGCAATATTGGTTAATTAATTATTTATGATTAATCAGTATATAGTGTAACTTATTGTTTAATTTATTTATTTATTTTAAATTGACAGCCCTAATCTTAATATATATATATATATATATATATATATATATATATACTAATTACAAAAAAATCACTTATTAAAATAGAAACTTCAAAGTGTTCCATTAAAATGAATCAAACTTCCCAACTATCATAAGAAACAATAATAAAACATCTTTAATACTCTTGTACCCATAAATCTCAAGAAAAGGATTGAGAAATCTAGTCTATTTTAGTATCCTTGATATACTATTATAGTTTATATATATATATATATATTATTAGATTGTATTTTTGTATTTTAATTTGAAAGTTTTAGCAATTTTGTTGTTTTTTGTCAATTTTTTTTCAGTTTTAGTCATTTTAGTACTTCAACTTGAAGAGAAATGTTTGAATAAAATTTGTCACACTTTAGATTAGAGTCCAATTCTCACTATTAACTATGACTTTTGTCTTAATAAACTCCTAATTAATGCTTAAAAATGTTGTTAAGTTTAGGTATTGAGTGGATTAAGGGATGTTGAATATGTTCATGCAGAATAATGCATTAATATGTGCTTTATAAGGACTAATAAGCACCCAATATCCTAATATGCATGATAATAAGAATCTATATAATAGTGAGAATTGGACCCTAAACTAATGTGTTACTAATGTTTTAGTTAATAAAATAATCCTGATCTATTGACATGGTCTTTCTGATACCTAATGCCCATGTGTGCATGTGATAAATGCATAGTTTGTTAGCGGTGTTGACTAACTCAGTGTGTTTGTGTGATGTTTGCGTCCTCAGGGCAGCACCGGTCGTGGCGGCGCCCCTCGCCAGCAGTGGAGGCGAATCCTCTGGTCCTGTCGGGACACGTTCAGGGTTCAGATCGGCCGAATGCTGGTGCACACGCTCAGCCCTGCAGTACCTCTGGAGGACAGGAGGGAGGCGCTAGAGTTCGTCCACGAGCACAGCTACTCTGAGATCCTCAGAGAAAGCCTCAGTCCTGGCCTCGAGGTGAGGCCAATCAACAGCAGATATGTTCACACAAATGGCTTTTTGTTTTTACATACCGACCAGAGACTGTGTGACATTTCGCTTTGGTTATTTGCTGACAGTTTTCAGATTAGTGTGACAACACACATGCACACTTCCTCTATTGGGAGGAAGACAATGACATTTCACTGGGCTGGTTTCGCCACAGCTCTCCTCTGACATGCAGTAAATAACCCACAGAAACATCTTCATGAGACCGTTTCCATAGCAGCAGCGCCGTCCTCTCGCTAGTGCTGTATTCATGGCAAAAAAAGATCATTAACCCTCAGAGACGCATCTGAATAGCAATTCTTGCATAAAGCAATAAAATAACAGCTAATTTTGTCCAACTGTGGATAGAAACTACACTCTTAGAAGAAAAGGTTCTATATAGAACCTTAAAGGGTTCTATCAGCGCTACGTATTTGCAACCCCTAAAAGGTTCTATACACTCCTAAAAAATGGTTCCTCTGGGTTCTATATAGAACCCTGGGGTTCCATACTTGGCCAATAGAACCTTTTACCAAAAAAAAAAAAAATGGTTCTATATAGAACCATTTTGGAGTTCCATATATGAAGCGGGGAATGGAACCATTTCTGGTTCTAAATAGAACCATTTCTTACAGAAATGTATCACAACAATATTGTTTTAATATGTTAACTGTCACAGCTTACAAACGGTCCAGTCAAACGTTTTTATTAATTGTTTTATTTCTGCGAGCCCTTAAATTTTCAAAGAAAAATTAAATTTAAGACCTTTTTTTCTGAGCGTAGCAGAAATGCATTAGGGGTCAAACGTTTGAGTTGTTTTATCATTATTGTCTTGTTTTTAAAGTGAATGATATTAAATTTACTACATTATATTTAGGCTTTGTTTTAATGTGTGTTGTAGTATTTAAACGACCAAATAGTTCTTTTGAATTAGTTTATCCTTGTTGAAATATTTTATGGTAACACTTTAGTTTACGGTCCGGTTCTCACGATTATATAGTTGCCTATTATCATGCATATTACTAAGATATTGGCTGTTTATTAGTACTTATAAATCACATATTAATGCCTTATTCTGCATGACCATATTCTACATCCCTTAATCCACCTAATATCTAAACTTAACAACTGCCTTACTAACTATTGATTAGCAGTAATTAGGAGTTGAGGCGTGAGAATTGGACTCCTATATAAAGTGTTACCTATATAATTTTTTTCAAATACTTGTGTGTTCTGAATTGTGTTGTGAATTTAAAACTTTCACTTACTGTATCAAAAATAGTGGTGAGATTATGCCCAGTTTTGCTATTTTGTAACGTTTTTCTAAACTCCACCTTGGATTTCATCACTTATGGTTGAAAAAACAAACATGAATATGGAAAATATGTTTTTTAAATGCTCTGAAAATGTGTATGTGGTTGATCAATAAGGGTCTTTGATAGCCGTCGCCTAAAAAGACAGGTTCCTCTAACCATTCCTGATTGTGTTGTGCTTGTGTGTGTGTTATTAGCACGGGCCCAAGCTGGCTCTGTATCTGTACGAGCTGTTACACGACCATAAAGACGCCCTGAGCAAAGAAGAGCAGGCGGCTGCCAACTCCTTCATGACAGCGCTGAAGCTCTGCGGCCACCGATGCATCCCACCCAGTGCTCCGGCCAAACCGGACCTCCTGAAGGCCATCAAAGAGGTACGCATGTCCCAACAAGCTCATCCAGGTCATAAGAGGATTAGTCATGGGTTCTTGCATCAGTTGCATGAGCCTTTTTTTTGCAGTTTCACTAAATCATCTTTGCGCTTTGAGTAGTGTGACTACTTTTAAATAGGGCTGTCACTTTTGATTGAAGTCTTGATTGAATTGATTTTCCATGTCTAAACACGTTTCCATTTTCAACACCAATTATAGGCAAATCCACTGACAATTAAAAGGCATTGAGACGAACATAAAGAGGGCGCTAGAGAAGCACAAGTCAGCAAAATTGACTCTTTGGGAAATGCTGTCAATTCACAAGTGTTTCTATGTTTACTCACTTTGCTGGGGAAGTTCGTGTAAGCCAAATCTGCATGGATTTAGCGCAAATACGCAACTCGTGAGTCCTCATACAGTGTATCGCACAGAATCTGCGCATTTCTGGCTTACTTGATATAATAACGGCACGCTTGTTCACTTGCATTGAAGCAATAGCGAAGATTAAACAGCATTTGGTTAACAGAAAAGCAGAAAACATCTTACATGTTCTGTGTCCTGTATCGATCTGTCCACCTAAAACATATTTTTGGTTAATAAAAATCCCCAAAGGCCGTTAAAATCGTTTCCCTATTTTCGTTTTCGAAACTTGTGTTGGTTGATCGTGCAAATTGTGCAATCGATATTCCAACATAAAGTGACAGCCCTACTTTTAACTATAATTTATACTGTTACTGTTCGTCCGACTGTTACTGCACTTCGTTTTATTCTAAATGGTTTTAATTTACTGTATTTTATTTTTATCATAATTTTTATTTTTAATTATTTATTAACTGTTTTAATTATTCTGATTTTCTTTTGATTATTTTAATTTCTTCTATGTAAAGCACTTTGAATTGCCATTGTGTATGAAATGTGCTATATAAATAAACTTGCCTTGCCTTGCCTATAATTTAGCTCTGAAGTGCTCAGCTGAGGTGTATGCATTTATTATTGTTCAACCAAATCTGTTTCACTACTATTCCTTATCAAGGAGCAACTGAAATACGAGTCGGAGGCAAGAACCAGCAAAGCAGCCTGGGAAAAAAAGCTGGCCAACACGCAGAGGAGGTGAGAAACACAAAAATCTCGGTAACACTTTAGTTAATGTATTTACTAACAATGAGCAATGCATTTGTTACAGTATTTATTAATCTTTGTTAATGTCAATCAGCTGTTCATTGTTTGTAGAGCCCGATCGATAAAGGATTTTGAAGGCCGATACAAATATTTTTGGGTTTTAAAATCCGATATTCCGATATATCGGCCGATATTTTATTTATTTTTTTATTTTTTTAAACTGGACATGATAGCCACAAATTTTTTCCTGCTTATTTGAGTTAAGAGAACTGATGGGGATGTTCTTTTAATTGTTATTCAAGCAATGACCAACTCAACGAGTGTTGCCAACAGGAACGGTGTAGAGCGCCCTCCGGTGGACAAACTATACAACTCCAACACTCATGACATGGTTCAATCGTGTTTCGTCCGTTTTTATTTTATTGTTGAAATATTCATTTATCGGCCATTATAACTGCCGATACCGATAGTTTGGAAAATGCCTAATATCGGTCTGCCGATATATCGGTCTGGCTATAATTGTTTGTTCATGTTAGTTCACAGTGCTTTAACTAATGTTAACAAATACACATTTTTAAATTAACATTAACTACGATTAATAAATGCTGTAGAAGTATTCTTCATTCTTAGTTCATGCTAACTAAGGTAGTAATAATAATGTTAACTAAAATAATACTCAAACAACTTTGCTATTTTTTTCTGAGCTGTTCCGGTCTCCGTTTCAGCTTGTTGCAGAGGCTGGATGGGAAGTCGAAGGACATCTCGAAGATCGCCGCTGACATCACTCAGAACGTGTCTCTCAGGCAGGGAATGGAGCGCAAGAAGGTCATGCAACACATCAGAGGCCTTTACAAGACCGACCTGAGCGCCAGCCGGCACTGGCAGGAGCTCGTGCATCAGCTCACGCACGACCGGTCAGCATCGCTCACTACAACGCTAGTCATCGTTTACTAGGGTTGTCACAATATATCGCAATACAAAAATGCAACAATATGTATTGTGGATAGTTCACCCAAAATAAACATTACTGGGTGAGAAAAAAATACAAGTTTTCAGAGTTATAGTGTCAGTACTACATTAAACTACTACATATAATGTTGAATATAGTGTATAATAATGCAATGGGGGTCCTGATAATGCCAATGTTAACAGTACAAAGTGGCCTACATTATTTAAAATATATCTAGTCAGTATTTTAACAGAATAGAAGCATAATCGTCTAAAATAATTCAGTATTTTCAGCTTCAGAATCATGAATATTGTTATTCTGGTGTCTCTATTGTCCTGTGCTTTGGGTTTCCAGAAGTCCAAGTCTATTCATTTACACACTTAATGTAAAACCAAATTCAGCATTTTAATCTTGGCCAGGACACTCCCGAAAAAGAGATTTTAATCTCTGTGAATCTTTTTTTCCTGGTAAAATAAAGGTAAATAATCAACAGTGCATTTTTTGTTAACCTTTTATCATATGTCTTGGAGAATTGCAATAATATGGTCTCGTGAGTTCATGTATTGAATCGTGACCTGAGGGCATTGTTACACCGCTACATTTACTCATCCTCATGTTGATCCATACTGATGTTATTTTTCCCCGTGGAACAGGGCGGTGTGGTACGATCAGTCGTCTTACCCCACGTCCTGGCAGCTGGATCCCACCGAGGGACCCAACCGAGAGCGGAGACGCCTCCAGCGCTGCTACCTGACCATCCCCAACAAATATCTGCTCAAAGACCGCCGCAAGCTAGACGGTGACTGAAGAAAGCACTTCATAACATCAGCTCATGATATTCTATAATATACTATACTATACTATACTAGTTTTTAATGTATTTTCATGATGCAGTTTATTTACTCGTAGCATAAACAAATGTGGTGAAAAATGACCTAGATGTTCTTGAAAGATTTTCCCAAGTATGTAAATTTAATAAGTAAATAAATAAATAAGAAAATGACTATATTAGTTCAATGGGGAACTAAATTAGTTGTTAAATTATTTATTTACTATTTACTTATTAATTTATTAAGTTAGTTAATAAAGTAAATAATATATATTCTAATCAACTTATTAAATTACTTATTTACTTACTATTTAGTACCAATTTTACTTGTAAACAAATGTTCTTATTTACTAACTAATTTTACTGATACACTTATTTACATATTTATTATTATAGTTTTTTAATAACTAATTTAGTTCTCAATTTTACTTATAATAAATAAGTATAAATAAATAAGTAATTTAATTAGTTGATTAGTATTTACTTATTTACTAACTTGTTAAAAGTTCAATTTAAAACTAAATTAAAAAAATAGTAATAATATTAAATATGTAAATAAGTGTATCAGTAAAATTAGTTTGTAAATAAGAAAATGTGTATATAAGTAAAAATGGTATTAAATTAGTAAGTAAATTAATAAGTATATAATAATATTAAAAATACATATGTAAAAAAGCAATTTCAAAAGGTAGTAAATAAAGAAAATAACTTATTTATACTTTATTTACTAAATTAGTAAGTAAATAAATAAGAAAATTAACATATAAGTTGAGTACTAAATGAGTAAATCAATAAGTAAATAATTATATCAGTAAAATAAGTAAATAAATAATAAGTAAACAAACAAGTATACGTAAATACGTAAATGAATAAAATTGGTAAATAAATTAGTAAGTTACTAATATTAGTTAGTTACTAATAAAGTTAAATTAGTTAGTTAAATTAGTTAGTTACTAATAAAGTTAAAAATATTAAATAAATAAATATTTAAATACTTGTATCAGTAAAATTAGTAAGTAAATTAAGTAAATAAAAATAAATAAGAAGAATTTTAATAAAATATTTTTTTTAAATACGTATTATGTTTAAATACGTAAATGAATAAAATTGGAAAGTAAATTAGTAAGTTACTAAATAAATAATAATAAATAAATATTTAAATACTTGTATCGGTAAAATTAGTAAGTAAATTAAGTAAATAAAAATAAATAAGAAGAATTTTAATAAAAATAATAATAAGTAAACAAACAAGTATGCATAAATACGTAAATGAATAAAATTGGGAAGTAAATTAGTAAGTTACTAAATACATAATAATAAATAAATGTTTAAATACTTATATCATTAAAATTGTAAGTAAATTATTTTATGAGTAAAGCAACAAATATAAGTAAATAAGAATATAAGCATGCAAGTTAATTCATAGTTTTTCGGACTGGGATGAAATGTGACCCGAGCATGTTTTTTTAGATGAACAAATCAATATGACACTGCCACTAACAGAAATGTAATATGATTGATCAGCTGATGGATTGATCTCATGCGTGTGGTTTGCCCATCACAGATGCCATCAAGGCTCCGCTAGCATTCCTGTTTGAGGACAAGGCTTACTCCTCTTCCTCCATAGTGAAGGACAAAGCCACCAGCGAGCCCATCAGGTACTCTCACCTCACAACAAGCACATCAAGGGTTCATCGCCACAGCATTTCAAAACCCAAAACATTTGCTCTTCTGTTTTAGGTTCACGAGAAGGTGCATAAGTGTGGCGCCCTCTAGAGAGATGGCAGGAGAGCTGTTGCTGGGTAAGACTCGTCCGAAATCTCCATCACGTGATCCTTGTGTTGACCGCTAAAATGATCTGTTGTGTTTTTTGTGTTCTGCAGGAAAATCTGGGATGTACTTTGTGGAGGATAATGTTGCTGAGACACATGATAACCAAGTATGCTTTTTATCCCTAAACGTTTGGATGAATGTTCATCATGAGCAATCTGATCTTTTGGGTTTTTTGTCCATCAAGTTCCAAATAAAAAAGTGAAAATAATTGTAAAGTATTTAATTTATTAAATCGTTCCAAAATAGGCGTTTACCTTATTATTTGAACTAGTCTATTATATGTTAATAATATTATATCTGTTATATTAGTTACTGATATACTATTATAGCTTGTATTCATATTTTTTTTAATAATTTTTTATTTTAGTTAAACTTTTAGTTGTTTTGTTGTATATTTTTGTTAATTTTATTTATTTATTTTATTCAAAAATATATATAGTTTGGATTAGGTTTTTTTGTCTGTTTTTTACACTATATTTTGTTATTTTTAGTTATTTTAGTACAAATAAAAATGGAGAAATATTACCTAGGCAACTAGTAGAAATAAAATAAGCTAATAGGTGTGTCCCAAGTCACATACTTATGCACTATTCTGTGATGTTTTGTAGAATAAATATAGTATAAGTATTAGTTTATGAAAATAACCCTGATCTAAAAACAATTGCATTATTTTTCCAGCAACTTATAAATACTTTTACAGTCATTCCATGAGACTAGATTTTGGTCACTCCACCCACTGCTAATAGATGTTATGTGTGTTTTAGAGGTTCACAATGTGTGCTTTTCCCCCAGAGTCCTGATGGAGAGACAGAACCGGCCTCCTTCTCCTGGACGTACGAGGAGATAAAGGAGGTTCACAAGCGCTGGTGGCAGCTCAGAGATAATGCGATGGAGATCTTCCTCACTAACGGCAGGACGCTGCTGCTCGCGTTTGATACCGCCAAGGTAACAATGCCATTGTCAAACACACGAGCATTAGCTGCTAAGTTTAGCTACGTAACTGCTGTAATCGTAGTGTTTTAAATAATATGTTTTTCAGTATAAGTTTTGATCTCTACTGTAGACATCAGCGTGTATATTTGAACTTTTTTTTGATCATTTAAACTATTGTATCCCAGAAATAATGATACTATGAGGTGGAAAAGGCTGCTTGTGAAGCTGTTTCATGAGACTCTCTCTGGGTCAGCGGCAACACAGATTTGAGTGTTGCGATATGATTTTGTCAAAGGTTTAATAGACAGATGAAATGGAAGAAGATCGCGTGGGTGTTTGAATGGAGATCACAGTCTTGAATCGTGCAGCTCTATTGTCTTATCTCAGTCTCACGTAGGGGTGGTTAATCTGTCTGATTTCCCGATTCGATTCGATTACGATTATTGAAGTCCCGATTCGATTACAGTCGATTTTCGATTATTAACGATTATTGATTTTCCATTTCACAACAGTAAACGAAAATACACTAGACCAACATATGGTTATATTAGCAGCAGCAACATTTTGGTATTAATTGCACTTTTTATTTGTTTGATATTCATTGAAAATATAATGATGGTTAGTGAGGACATGCAAACATGCTTGTTGTCTACTACTTGGGCAACTCATTATCTTTAAATTTATTAACTTTCAATTTTTTTTTCAAAAGCAATTTTGTTGCATTATATGCACCTGGTTCTATTAATTGACAGCATTAAAATGTATTTTGTGATTTCCTTCAATTGAAAATATTTGAAGCAAGTTTGGGGGACTTGAAGGGCACCCGATTCAGAGAATCACCTAGAAATTCAAAAGAACAGCATTTATCTGAAATAGAAAGCTTTTGTAACATTAAACAATACCGTTCAAATGTTTGGAGTCGGTAAGAATTTTTATTTAATTTTTTGGGCAAAAGAAAAAAGAAATCTATACTTTTATTCATCAAGGATAAATTAAGTTGATCAAAAGTTAAAGGTCAAGACATTTATAATGTTACAAATCGATTATCTGAAGCTTTTGTGTGTGACTATAAATAATTTGCTTTAAAAGTACAAAGTAATGACCCATAAAGAATTAATGCACAATATATTTTATTAACATTACAAAGAACGACCAGGAAAATAAATGTGTGCTTGAACTAGGAGCATACTTGGAGTAAATAAATAATATAACGACTGGTGCAGCCGAGTGTTTTTCCTCCTCTGGCTGGAAAGGTGTCATATGGCTTATCATATTTGTCGTGTTTCCGTCGTTGGTTTTATTCCACAAAGCGTACAACTAGTGCCGTTCCGTCAATATTACGTTATTATAAATACATATAAAAAAATTTTTTTTGAAATCGATTTTTTGACATTTGTGAATCGATTCAGGATCGTCCACGTCCGCATCGCGATGCATCGAGAATCGATTTTTTTTCCCCCACCCCTAGTCTCACGTCTCTTCCACGCAAACACTTTGGATATTACGTCACTCAACACTCATAGATAACGACACATTTGATCCTCTGTTGTAACAAAAGTGGGTAACTTCTGTCAACCTTGTCTATAAGCAAGGACAAAAATAGAGCGATTTAATTTGTATTAGTTTCGATTCTGGAATTTTAAAACAGTAAACAAAAAAATCATGATAGTTCGGTTGAATACATTTGTTCTCCAAGCCCTAATATATACACTACCGGTCAAAAGTTTTAGATCAGTAAGATTTTTTATGTTTTTAAACGAAGTCTCTTCTGCTCACCAAGGCTGCTTTATTTGATGAAAACTAAAAATGACAAACAGTAATATTGTGAAATATTATGACAATTTAAAATGACTGTTTTCTATTTTAAAATGTAATTTGGAAGCTGAATTTTCAAGATCATTACTGTTGCTGATTACACATCAGTCTTCAGTGTCACATGATCCTTCAGAAATCATTCTAATATACTGATTTTATGCTCAAAAAACACAAATTATTATTTTCAATGTTGAAAATAGTCGTGTACCATTTCCCCCCCCAAAAATTCTATGATGAATAGAAAGTTCAAAAGAACAGCATTTATTTAAAATATAATCTTTTCTAACTTTATTAATGTATTTACTGTAACTTTTGATCAATTTAACTCATCCTTGATGAATACAAGTATTTTCTAATTTCTTTCCCCCAAAAATAAAAAATAAATTCTTACTGACCCCAAACTTTTGAATGGTAGTGATTAAATCTTTCCATTTCAGATCAATTCTGTTCTTTTGAACTTTATATTCATCAAAGAATCCTGAAATAAAAATGTAAAAAACTGTTTTCAACATGGATAGTAATCATAAATGTTTCTTGAGCATCATATTATAATCATTTCTGAAGGATCATGTGACACTGAAGACTGGAGTAATGATGCTGTAAATTCAGCTTTGATCACAGGAATAAATTACACTTCACTATATATTCACATAGAAAACCGCTCTTTTAAATTGTAATAATATTTCACAATATTACTGTTTTTTTAAAATATTTTTTATAAAATAATTGCAGCCTTGGTGAGCAGAAGAAACTTCTTTTAAAAACATAAAAAAAATATTATCGATCTAAAACTTTTAACTGGTAGTGTATATATTTATTTATATGTGTATAAATTTGCACAAATAAATGAAAAAAATATATAATTATTAATTAAATCATTGAATGAATAAATTCCCACTCATGAATTGAAAGAGACCCAATTCCATAATTCATAATCTTGCCCAACCGTAACTTCCTCTCTCGTCTCCGTCTCAGTTTCGTGATGACGTCTACCACAACATCCTGACCTCAGACCTGCCCAACCTGCTGGAGTACGGCAACATCACGGCCCTCACGCACCTGTGGAGCTCAGGACAGATCACCAACTTTGAGTACCTCACTCACCTCAACAAGCACGCGGGCCGCTCCTTCAACGACCTCATGCAGTATCCCGTCTTCCCCTTCATCCTGAGAGACTACATCAGTGAGACTCTGGACCTGCAGGAGGCCTCTATTTACAGGTCAGAGCATTATTACTGTATTTCAATGCCGTTTTTCATTGTCCACCGTAGCGTTTTTAACCAGCTGATAACGCTAGACGCCTAGCTGTGGGCGCTTGAGAGCGTTTTGGTTTTTTCCGTTGAGCCGCTTCGTTGCTATGACACAGAATATCCGCAGAAACATTTCGCAGATAATTTGTTTCATGTTAATAATTAATTTTTCATCCATTTTGTTCGGTTATCTTTACTGGTTGATGTCGTTGTACAGAAAGAATGTTGTGACAGTTGGTCGGTGTGGTGTTAGCCCCGCCCCTCCTCCACTGTGATTGGACAGCTGGGTAAAAAGTGACAGTGATGAGTCACAACTGCTTCAACATTCTTCAACTGTCGGCTACAAAAAAATGCTCAGCGCCTCGTTACGCTCATGGCGTTTTAAAAAACGCGGCGCTCCCATTGAAAATAATAAAAAAAATCCGCCAGGCACGTGAAAAAAACGATTTGGCCTTAGTGATAGCCTGATAAATAGGTCTGGGCAAAAAAAACAATCCATATTTATTTATTTGTCTCCCAAAAATAGAGTTTTTCTACATTGTTTATAGCCTTGCAGCCTCCATGTTACAGCTAATGCTGTGAGATTTTATGCTAGTTTTATCTTAAACATAAAATAACCTGATCCTGATTGATCGAGTTGACTGTTCTGACTGGTCAGTTCTCAGCATTAAATTTTCATCTTGCATCAAAATCCTGTCTATTCATTGTATGCATTTGAAGTTGGGTTTTAATGTACCCAAGTGTACCTAAAATAAAAAGAGTTTAATATACAGGTTTGTGGCTCTAAATTTCTTTTTATTAATGAACTATTTGTAAACTTTTTTTATAAATCAGTATTAAATCAGTAATCATTGAGTTGATTCAGGAATCGAATTTAGAGCTTGCGAATCGAAATCGAAATGAATCGATACCCAGCCCTGCTGATAAATTAGCTGATGGTTTTAAGTTCATCAACTGATTTCTGTGCCCATTTGGCCCATTAATAATAGTGTTAGCTCTCGCTGGTCATCAAAACTATGAAATAGTACAAATGGAATTATGTTCTAATTTTCAGTATTGCTATCAGACACATAATTATTAATTCTCATATGAATTATAAAGTTATATATTGCTTCATATTTTATTTTTCAGGATTCTTTGATGAATAGAAAGTTTAAAAGAACTGCATTTATTTGAACATTCATTCTTTTGTAACATAAATGTATTTACTGTCTCTTTTGATCAATTTAATGCATACTTGCTGAATGAATAAAAAAAAAATAGCAGTAGTGTATCACAGTTTCCACTTAAATATGATGAAACACAACTGTTTTCAACATTGATAATAATCATAAATTTGTCTTGAGCATCAGATCCTCATATTAGAGTGATTTCTGACAGATCATGTGACACTGTATGTAATGAGTAATGATGTTGAAAATACAGCTTTGATCACAGTAATAAATGACACTTTACTGTATTTTTACATAGAAAACCATTAAATCTAGCCTTGGTGGACTTAAGATAATTTCAAAAACATGTAAACAAATGAATATTTTCCTTTCTGTTTTTCTTTTTGATGTAACAGGAACCTCAGCAAACCCATCGCAGTGCAGTCCAAAGAGAAGGAAGACCGTTATGTGGACAATTACAGGGTACGGCAGCACTGCAGGGCTTTAATTCCTGTTTACACCAGCGTCTGTTAACCAATCACACTGTGGCTCCGTTCCAAAATCTGGCGAGCTGTCTGCATAGGCTCGAAGGGCTTTCCCAACAGTACATTATGTGGCCTTCTAAGACATTTTCATCTGGCTGAATTCTGACGTAGAATCACAAGTGTCCTTTGCAGAAAAGGAAATCTAGCTTAACCCTTGTGCATCCTTATGGACATTTTTGTCCTTTTCAGTTTTGTTTTTTTGATCACTTTGCCTGTGTTAAAGCTAACTATTCTACTATTTCACCGTCATTTTCTTAAAAAAATATTTTTTTGCATTAGGTACAAAAAATACTCCCTCTCAGCACCTTTTGGACAAAAATGTCCCCACTGAAAACCATTAAAACTGCAATTTTAATCCCTGGTTCAGTTAACTATAAAATTATGCAATCTTTGTTAAGAGGCTTTCATTCTGATGGCAAGACTTCAAAATTTAAATTTTTTACTATTTTTTATCAGATGGTGCCATTTTTTTTAAAGTTTGCCCTATAAACAAATATCGCTTTATTCCTGTTTTCTGCTTCGGCATACTATAGAGTGAACTGGATAAATTATGTGTGTTTTGTATGGATGTCAGAGTGTGGTTAGTATGTGTGTTATAAAAAAATATGTGTGTGTTTGTAATACTGAGAGAGAAAAACTGCAATCACTGTGAGCTCCAGTGGGGGTTTGCTGGCACCCAGTGGGGAAAATATGTTACTACGCCCAAACAAATTGTTACCGAAAGCTCATTTTTTTTGAGATATCATCCTCAAATTTGGAACACAACCTATTTAGATATATGGCTTTGATTTTATTGCAGTTTTGAGTTCAACCTGATTTATAAAATATATATTTTATATAAAATATTTTTTTATAAATAATTTTCATAAACTTATACCTATGTAACTTTTTTTTTGGATTTACTTAGTATTATTTTTTTACTTCAGCAATAATCTGCAAAGGGTCTTCTTTAAAATGATACCAAACTTAAGTCTGTGCTTTTTATGACAGTTTTTTGACATGGACATTTTTGTCCTCTTTTTACCTATGTGTAACTTTTTTTAATTGATGCACAAGGGTTAACAATACCATAGTCAAGTCTCTCACTTATGAGACTCTATTTCAATATGCTACCTAAGAAGACAGCTGCACGGTTTGATCATTTTGTATCCATATTTCTATGGATCATCCATATTCAGCGTGTATGATTACAGCTGATGTCATTATGTGTGTGTGTAATGGCTCTTTTCCACTGTATGGTACAGTACGGCTCGCTTTAAACCATACCACCGCACCGATACTAAAATGTGACGTGAAAACACTGCAGATCATCAAACCCGCTAGATTTAAATAGCCAGTAACAGCCACCGTTGTAGCACCTGTTTTAACCCTCTAAGCGCCACGGTCGAGTTAACAAGATTGAAGCACTGAATAAAATGGCCGATTTTGTCAAATCGAGTGTCAAATTTTATTCGACCTCTCCTCCACTGGATGGCAGACGTGTCATACTTCCTCCTTGACTCAAAAAAACGTCATGCTTCCATATAATCAGCGCATTGAAAAAGCGGAGCTAGTTTGCTAGCGGAGCAATCGCGGCGACCGTATTGTGGTGGAGACTTTGTCTAATACCACTGGAAACGTTCGACGAGGTGAAGTGTGAATGAAATGTTCGTAGTGTTAATGAAATGTCATATCATATGACTAATATATATGTGCCCCATACATGGAATCAGAGTGCCTAATGTTTGTAGTAAATGGAAAATCTCTACAGCAAAAGGCCAACCACTACATGCAGTCAGGTTGTTTCTACCATTTAATAGTACGTATTTATACAGTTTGTTTACTACTTACTAGAGCCAGACCGATATATCGGCCGATATTAGGCATTTTCCATAATATCGGTATCGGCAGTTATAATGGCCGATAAATGAATATTTAAAAAATAAAATTAAAACGGACGAAACACGCTTTAATCATCATCTCTCCTTGGCCTTTTATATTGAAAATGTATGTTTTACAATTTGCAGTATGATGTTATCTATTGCTAATCATAGACTAGCTAACCACAAAGCTAGCTAATGCCACTATCATCAGACCGCTAACGTTAACATTAATGAGCTTGGAAACAACAATGAACTTTTTCTGCCTAAATAAAGTAATGATTACTGTATTTATTACTAGCATATCTCTAGTTACAGTCCCTGCATTGTAAAATGTAAGTTATACTTGCGAGGAGTGAACATTTAGACATAGAGAAAAAGTATCAAACGTATCTTGTGCAGAAAGGTTAGCTTTTCTTTTACACGTGTGTGAAATCCAACAATAATTAATAAAAAAAACAATCGGCCGATATATCGGAATAAATATGTGTCAAATAAAATATTTGTATCGGTATCGGCCTTCAAAATGCTTTATCGGTCGGGCTCTAATACTTACTATATACCTGAGCATTCAGTGTTCATTAAATCATCATGAAAATTCTATATCCATGATTGCCGCCACCATATGATGTCATAACATGCAAATTAGATGGGAAAATGTAATCCCTACATAAACTTTGGGTCATCCTTAATATTTCTCTAATTTACAGAAAGTCTTTATCTTTTGTCACTTTTAAGATATAGCCTTTTGAAATTAAGATGTCAAAAGCAGAACGTTTTTGGCGCCTAAAAGGTTAAAACTACTTAAAACGTCCAATAAAAATAAAACGTCCAAAAAAGAAATGGCTGAATCGTGGTCAGTGGACGAAGTGCAGACGTTCCCTCGTTGGTTGCAGAGGAGCGGATAAACTATAACGGTCAGTCTACACTTTGAAGCGGTACTGACTGCAGTGGAAAACCAAACCGAGCTAAAGCGAACCGAGCCGTACCATGCCATAAGTGTAACTAACTATTGATTTCCTCCGCAGTATCTGGAAGAGGAGTTTAAGAAGGGCAAGCGAGAGGACGACCCCATGCCACCCGTCCAGCCCTATCACTACGGCTCTCACTACTCCAACAGCGGCACCGTGCTTCACTTCCTGGTCAGGCTGCCGCCCTTCACCAAGATGTTTCTGGCCTATCAAGGTCAGTTCTGGCATGATCTGGCATATTTACATGGTGTATTATCATACAACAATGTTCATATATATCAAATAAACATAAATAAGTTCAACTTTTATCAACGTTTTCAAAATCGAGGAGCTCATAATATGATAATGATTTAATTTTGAATTTTTGACAAGTGTAATCTAACAAAATTGAATATTTGTCAATAATTTTAAATGTACAGCATTCATATTTAAATCATTTGGTCATATTATAAGCTCCATATTTGACCAGGCAGATTCAAAAATATTAAATGTAAAAGTAAAACGTTTGAGTTTGGTTTCCTTCAGTAAGTGAACTCAACAAAGGACACTTAATAATTAAATTAAACAAAGCCTACTGTGTCATATTAAATATGCAAATTTCTATGATTCTTATTGATGAACATGATCAGATTAAAGTATTATAATTGTACAAACGTCCTCCTTCAGATCGAGTCTTCTTTCTGCTGTCAAATCTGATTTTTATCAAGTAAACATAAGAACATAAGAATGAATAAACATAATTTACTTAATTGTCCATGAATCTTTTGTTTTAGAAAAATCCTGTTAAAATGTAAAATATGATCATCAGCCTTTTGAGGAAGATTTATTAGTTCATCTATTAGTATCGCATTGCATTACATGTTTTAAAAAATACAGAGCTTTGATCATAAAAATAAGCATTTAAGACAGATATTTATATGCATTTTATGTCAGTATCTGCTATTCTGTTTTCATTGATTTACATAAGTATAAGAATATCATTGCTTTTTGACCATATGCACATTAGCACCTGCACTAAATAGCATGAATGCGTTTACATAAAAGCCTGTTGTGTATCAAATATGATACTTAATTAAAAAAACATGGAAATTATTTATCTAATTATTTTTCCTGACTATTATTTAATATGTCAGGCTTTACAGGGTTATTGAAAAGCAATATTAATACACATATTCTTACTAAAACCTTTTATTATGTGGCAAATCACTGTGCTGTGTGGCGCCTAGCGTCATCCTTTAACACGACATTTCGTACCTTATTATGTAAATGTTCATGATTTGCATATTCAAGAAAACAGAAGCTCCGGAACATAAAAATCGAATGCAACCACCCCTTAAAAAGCACTGAATGATGATCTGTTGTCTGTTCATAACTCAGATTCACTCTCATCAATTAGGATTCAGCATCGCCACGTTTTTAATATTTAACAGCACCTGCGTTTGCAGCAACGTGAGTGTGATGCTTGTAAAGGCTGTCATTGAAAAGGGTCTTTCTGAAGTCTCACGCTACATGCATTAGCCTCAGAAAGATGATCAGGCCTTTCATCCAGCCTCTTTCCTCCTTTCTCCGTCTATTTTTAGTTCGGTTGGTTTATCCATATTAGGTAACACAAGAAACTAATGAAAGGTTTTGTGTGTCTCGCAGACCAGAGCTTTGATATTCCCGACCGAACGTTTCACTCCATGAACACCACGTGGCGTCTGTCGTCCTTCGAGTCCATGACGGATGTCAAAGAGCTCATCCCAGAGTTCTTCTACCTGCCCGAGTTTCTGGTCAACAGAGAAGGTGGACACCTGGTTTTCTTCTTCTAACATCCAACTTCTCATGAAGGAAATGTCTTGTAACAATCAAATTAAGAAAATAACCTTTCCTTAACCCTAATCCTTCCCTCGGGTCATTTTGACCCGGAAATTGTTTTTGTTTTTTTTAATTGAATGTTCATCAGAGGGATCTAAGACCCCATGACTTTTGTCGCACTTGAACCATGAATACACCCCAAAAAGTGAATGGATTCAAAGAGTTTAGTGGTTGAAATTTCAATTGACCCTTCGCTAAGCCCCGCCCTCCCTAGTTACTGTTGCTACGCCTGTCAAGCTTTCGCGGCTGGCCCATCCATTATAGTGTGGATGCACCCGGTGTCAGACATTCCCAATGAGATAATTAGTAATTTTCGGCGAACAAGTGAAATATCTGAGAGAGCAAGACAAAAGGGACTACAGTATGCATTCCAGGGATATATTCACGACATTATATGCAACCAATTAGAGAATAATTTCTTAAAAATTAAAGTGAAAGCCTAACGTTATAGTCCCAGCGCGAGCAGCAGCGCCTCATACGCTGACAGTTCAAATGGAAAACACAAATTGAGGAACAGCTATGTTCATACACAGCAGGGTATGTGAAAATAATCTTAATAATTATATATCAAACAGCTTATCAATAAATCTTGTGGAATAACACTAATACCGGGAGAGCCGCGATCGGATTGGGTTAAGTTAAGGGGTAACGTTAGTAGGACGTCGATTAACAAAATGCTGAAATATATTTTAAAGTAAGTCAGTGAGCCTTTGTCTTGTCTCTTTAATCGTCTTATTTTACGCTATATCATTATGACCAAAGAACCGTCAATATTTCCAAGCAATACTGTAGGTGTTTTTGTTAAGCATGTCGACATTTACCAGGAAAACAATTCCTCTCCCCCGTCAAAACTTTTAGTATACCGGTATCAGATTTGCACAATCCATACGCACAATGCTTCAGCATGTTCCCTCGTTCGAAAGCTTGCCAGACATCCCGTGCATAGTTACGGTTGCTAAGACATGATTGGCCAGTGGCGGTTTTCGGGCGTGGCTTAGCAAAGGGTCAATTTGACCCCCATAGGAATGAATGGAATGCTTCAGTACACTTAGAACAACCTAAAAATGCTCAAAATTCAAACTAAAAATGTTAAAACTTGACCATTTTTTTTAAATATTATGTCTACATGTGCATCTGAATGCATACTGAAGAGAAGCTGACTTTAGGACCCAGCGGAACAACTCATTTGCTCCATATTGAGATATAAAGCCATCTAGAGTCATGAAAAATCATGTTATATTATTTTATTTTTCCACAAGAGGTCGGCAAAGACACCCAATGTTAGATCTTTTTAGCTGAATTAAAATATTTATGCACGAAAGTGTGAGTTATTTTGAATTTAAGTTGTCAGGAATGTGAAATTACTATTTATTTATTGATTAAATTTTTAGGGAAGGGAAGGATTTGTTATGAGGGTAACCTAGATATAAGCAATGAATATTAATGTAAAACATTCAAGAATCATATTAAAAGCAGTTTCCTAATGTTAGCGTGGTATTTCCCGCTCTCCCCTCTGGCAGGTTTTGACTTTGGCGTGCGGCAGAACAGCGAGCGGGTGAACCACGTGAATCTGCCGCCCTGGGCCAGGAACGACCCGCGACTCTTCATCCTCATACACAGACAGGCTCTGGAATCGGACCAGGTCTCCCAGACGCTCTGCCAGTGGATTGACCTGGTGTTCGGGCTCAAGCAAAAGGGCAAAGCTGCAGTCCACGCCATCAATGTCTTTCATCCTGCGGTACGATTCCTTATTACGTGCAGCTTTACACTGATATTTTACGTCTTTTGATCTTATTAAAAAATAAAAGCCTGTCAAAAACATGTTCAGGCACAAAAAAAATATTTGTGCTTAAAAGAAATTAAGCTTAATTTAGGACCACTACTATTCAAATGTTTGGGGTCGGTACAATTTTTTTAGACTCATTTTTCTTAGACTCATCAAGACTGCATATTTGATCAAAAATACAGTAAAACAGTGAAATATTATTACAATTAAAAAAAATAGCAATTTTCTATGTGAATATATAGTAAAATGTAATTTATTCCTGTGATCAAAGCTGTATTTTCAGCTCCATTACTCCAGTCTTCAGTGTCACATGATCCTTCACAAATTACTCTAATATGAGGGTTTGCTGCTCAAGAAACATGATTATTATCAATATTGAAAACAGGTCATATTTTCATGGAAACTGTGATAAATTTATTTTGCAGGATTCATTGATGAGTTTAAAATTTGATATAGAAACTTTTTGTAAAATTATAAATGTCTATGCTGTCACGTTTGATCAATTTTATGCATGCTTGCCAAGTAAAAATATTAATTTCTAAAAAAAATAAATAAATAAAAAATCGAACCCAGAAGTTTTGAACAGTATTGTATGTATCAGCATTACTGTATATCGACTGTGTTTGCCCTTTCCATTTCTCAAATCCATCATTGATGAACCCATATCGGACTTGCGCTTCAGCGTGTTAACTAGCATCCGTAAATGAATCAGATTTCCCCTCTCTGTCTCTTTAGACTTACTTTGGCATGGACGTTTCTGCTGTTGAAGACCCTGTTCAGCGCCGGGCTCTAGAAACTATGATCAAGACGTACGGCCAAACTCCCAGACAACTGTTCAACGCTTCCCACATCAGCCGAGCGGGAACCAAACTCCTCTCGGATGCAGAACTGCCGGCGGCCATGGGCCTCCTGGTGCAGCTGGCCTTCAGAGAGAGCCGGGAACAGCCCAAAGACTCCACCTACCCGGTACAGCAAACACACACTGCGGAAATTATTGGGTGGTTTGACATTAAATAGATTAAAGGAGTAGCTCACTTTTAAAAAAACACTTTAGCTGATAATTTACTCACCCCCATGTCATATCATCCAAGATATCCATGTCTTTCTTTCTTCAGTCGAAAAGAAATTAAGGTTCAAAATGAACGAATCCTTTTTTCGAGTCCGTTTCGTTCGTTGAATGAACCAAATGACTCGAAAAAAGATTCGTTCATTTTGATGCTTTTCAAAAAAGTTTGAGCTTATATAACTTAAACGTTTTTATTTAGTTTTTAAATGAGCGATCGTTTCACTAGATAAGACCCTTAGTCATCGTCTGGTGTCGTTTAAAGCCCTTTGAAGCTGCACTGAAACTCTCATTTGGACCTTGAACCGTTTGGACCCCATTGAACTCCATTATATGGAGAAAATCCTGGAATGTTTTCATCAAAAACCTTCATTTCTTTTCGACTGAAGAAAGAAAGACATGGACATCTTGGATGACATGGGGGTGAGTAAATTATCAGCAAAAGTTTTTTTATAAAGTGAACTACTCCTTTAAGGATGATATTAAAGTGCCCTTTAAGGTTCCTAGTTTTGTTTTAGAGTTTTCTACAATACGTTTATAATGCATCTAGGGCGGCCCTTGACTAACAATTTTTCTAGCTGACTAGTAGTCATTTATTTAAGCAATTAGTCAACTAATCAATCGTTTATAATAAGCCATAAATCATAATAATGAGCCTTTAATTGCCTATATATTACATAGCCTAATCAGCGCTCAAACGTCAAACCATCCAAGGTCAAAAAAACATACACTGCACATCAATTGAGTCACCCCCATCCAAGATGTCCATGTCTTTCTTTCTTCAGTCGAAAAGAAATTAAGGTTTTTGATGAAAACATTCCAGGATTTTCTCCATATAATGGACTTCAATGGGGTCCAAACGGTTCAAGGTCCAAATGAGAGTTTCAGTGCAAACTACAGACTGTTCAAAGGGCTTTAAACGACTCCAGACGATGAATAAGGGTCTTATCTAGCGAAACGATCGCTCATTTAATAAAAAAATAACAAAGTTTAAGTTTTATAAGCTCAAATGCTCGCCTTGCTCTGTTCTGTGATGCGCGTTCGTGACTCTCCTGTTCGAACTCGTTCATCAAAATGAACGAATCTTTTTTCGAGTCATTTGGTTCATTCAACATTCATCTTGAACCTTAATTTCTTTTCGACTGAAGAAAGAAAGACATGGACATCTTGGATGACATGGGGGTGAGGAAATTATCAGCAAAAGCAACTACTCCTTTAAGCAATTAGTCATCTAATCAATCGTTTATAATAAGCCATAAATCATAATAATGAGCCTTTAATTGCCTATATATTACATAGCCAAATCAGCGCATTTGACATTTTCTCATAACATACACTGCACATCACTTGAGTGAGAAAATGGTTCATTGGAAGATTCAGTCTCGCTAAACCCCCTCCTTTCCGAGAGTCGACTCCGCTCAATCCCAAATGATCTTCTGCAGCCTTTAAATCCTCTCGTGTGATTCCCAGAGTCCTCTGCCGTGGATAAAGGGCTTGAAGTGGGGCGAGTACGTGGGATCCCCCAGTGCTCCGGACCCCGTGGTGTGTTTCAGCCAACCTCACGGCGAACGCTTCGGGTCCCTGCTGGCGCTGCCCACACGAGCCATCTGCGGCCTCTCCCGCAAGTTCTGCCTCATGATGATCTACAGCAAGGAGCAAGGTGGAGGACACACACACACACACGAGAAACTCCCTCATCAATCAATCATTATGTTTAAAAGCAACACGAGTTGACCAAAGTTGACAGACTCAACCTTTCAAAACAGACAAACACCATAAAACTACTCTAAACACTAAATGAACCACACGTAGCTTGTACAGTTAAAAACAGCAGAGAAGAGATGCGTCTTCGACCTACAGTAGATCAGGCTCATCATTTAATTATAGACCTGATTATACAGTGACGGTCAAACGTTCAGGTTCAGCAATGTTTTTCATTAATATGTTATTCAGAAAGGCCACACTAAATTGTTGACTATTTATAAAGATGCAAAAGATTTCTGTTTTAAACATGAAGCAGCACAACTCTCAGCCCCACCAGGGTCTCATTATTTTTGTGTGTGATTTTGTGATAAAAATGATGGGGATTTGTGTAGATTATTTCAAAAAAAAAGAAAAAAAAAAGAAAAATTGAATATATTAGGATGCCACAATTAGCATATAAAAGATGCAAAAGAACAAAAAAAATGCCTAAATCTTGTTTAATTTGGTCAAATTCTGATACATTATAACTTTTAAAACGTGCTCAGCCTTACCCAGTCTTAACAAACCTGAAATATTAATATTGTTTAATAGTTAGGGTATTGAATAACTTGCTAGGTGTACTATCTAGCTTTAATAACATGATCACTTAAGAAATCTTATAAATCTATTTTACAAACTATTTACTAGTGATGAGAAACAAATGACAATGGAGCAAATAAACACTACATAAAGATACAGATACAAACAGTTGTTGTTTGATTTGCGTTAACGACAGACAGCAGCCGTTATATTAGATTGTTTTCACTTTAAGACTTACACTAATGCAACGCTATCCTCTATCCTCCTGAAAATAGGGCATTACAACTTTAATTAAATTAGGGGTAGTTCAATAAGATAATTATAATAAAACATTTTGTGACCTATTAGAGTGATTTGTGAAGGATCATGTGACACTGAAGACTGGAGTAATGATGCTGAAAATACAGCTTTGACCACAGGAATAAATTACATTTTACCATATAATCAGCGGAGTTAAATTTTAATGTATTTTTGATCAAATAAATGCAACCTTGGTGGACAGAAGGCTTCTTTCAAAAACATTAAAAATCGTACAGACTCCAAACTTTTTGACGGTACCATATGTGAATTTCTGATGCGTTCCAAATGTATTGTGTACATCCACATTTATTTGCATATTATAATATTTATTCAAATCAAACAGATGTGAAGAACAAAAGGGAACCCAGACCTGTTTAAATAGAAAAACCTGGCTGTTTATCAACCATAAAAGCCATAATCTGTGCAAATACTGAATTATTTATCAGCCCAACTATTCTAGAACTTGACTGTTTCTGGTAGTTTCATCTTATCCCGATTATCCACATAAATGATCATAAATTATCCACATAAATGGAAATTAAGGTTGCCATCATAGAAAATGAGCTGTTTCTCTCTCCATCTCAGGTGTAAGGAGCATGCACAGCACAGACATCCAGTGGTCTGCTATCCTGAGCTGGGGTTACACCGACAACATGCTGCGTCTGAAGAGCAAACAGAGCGAGCCGCCCATCAACTTCATCCAGTGCTCACCACTGCACCAGGTCAGTCGTAAACACCGCTAACATACGCCGGCTGCGCAGTTTTCAGATGTGGAAGTACACTCGTCTGTTATAGCTCATATCTGTTGCTTTCGGTGACGTGAACTCCATTAACCCTCAGGTGCTCTTCGTTATGGAGTCACACTTGTTATCTTCCCGGTCAAAAGTGACCGGACACCTAAAAATGAAACTTTCTCCATCCCAGTAAAACCAATGCAATTTATTTTTGTTCTATAATATTTATTCTTTTTAATTTAGTATTTTGAGACAATTTAATTGAATTTATTAATATTTATGCAATATTTATGGTTTATTTTTGCCATGGAAAAATATATATATTTTTCTATGTATATATATATATATATATATATTTTTTTTTTTTTTTAATATTAATGCAGTATTTTAGTTTAATATAGAGTCTAGGCCTTCAGAAAAAAATATTTTTTGAAAGAAAATTAGCACCATCTGGTTACAGTATAGAGAAAAAGCGTAGAATCATGGTGTAACCACTAGATGGCATGTACAGCTCTCTATGGAGAAGCATGTGAATTCCCCAGATGTTTATGAACACATTTTTTGTTGTTGTTGTTGGTGGATTTGAATATATAGTTGAAACAATCTCAAAAACTATTTCTTAGAGAAAAAAAAATTGACAAAAGACAAAAATTCACAATTTCCCATTCATTTCCTATGGTCGGTCATTTTTGACCGAAGAGCACAAGTATGACTATTTTTTTTTACGACCACTTAGCATGCTCGGATCATGATCTTAATTTTTTTTTTTGTGTGTTCACATACATAATGCCATAAAAGTCACCAAGTTTCGTAACATTACGATGAAGCTGTGATTTTTAAAATTTCAAAACAGAAAATTTTTCGGCCAGAAATGACCGAAGAGCACCTGAGGGTTAAATCTGCATATAGCGCAGGAATTGAAGATCGGATTATATCCGTTTTGCAAAAACACGTTTATGTGACCAGGTATGGTTTTAATAAATCAGATAGCTATCCAAACTGCCACGCAAAGAGCACCAAAGTATTAATTACATTGCCCTTGACCCCTGGCAATGCTTAAATTGAACGGTTGTGCAATTTTTGATTTTGATTATGGGTGAAATATGAGCCACCAGGCTCGTTCTTAACGGGTTTTGTGAGATTCACCCTTTCCGTAATCACGTCATCAAAATGTCCCCTTCTTCATGAGTGTGCGTTCTGATCTGGGTCTCTGGTCTCTCCTCAGGTGTCGAGTTGTGCCTGGGTGCCGGACAGTTGTCAGCTGTTTACGGGCAGCAAGTGTGGAGTCATTACCGCCTACAGCAACCGCTTCACCACCACCACCATGGTGCGTAACCATGGCAACATGCCCCCTCCCACGCAGCCGCCCACGTCCATTATCACTCCCTGTAGAGCACCTACACACACACACACACACACACAGTGTTTGTAGTGGCCTTGTTAGTCATCTCCCGGTTGCCCTAGAAACACATTTCCTGCGGCCCACAGGTGGGCTGAAGTCTGGCCGTCAGACGGCGCTTTCATTGATAACCTGTTTCTCTTATTCGTTTCAACCAATCTTTCTGACATTTGGAGAGGTATTTCAGTTGATATCATTTAGTCATTTAATTGTATTTATTTTTCTCATCTTCATATAACATTCAGGAATGAGGGCGATGTGAAGTCTCGTTTCAAGATATCGTATTGCTGTGAATGGTTCCCTGTTTATGTAGAGCTTAATAAAGAATTAAAAAATATATTAGGGATGGGCAACGATTAATCGCGATTAATCGCATCTAAAATAAAAGTTTGTGTTTACATAATATATGTGCGTGTAGTGTGTATAATTAATTTGTATGAAAAATGTTTTATTAATATGTCAAATATTTATATATAATATTAATTATTCATAAATTTATATAAAGTATATACATGCAAATATTTCTTAAATGTATACATGCATGTGTGTACAAATTAATTATACACTCTACATACACATATATTATGTAAACACAAACTTTTATTTTGGATGCGATTAATCATTGCCCATCCCTAAAATATATATATATAAAATAAAGATTAAGATTTGATTAGAAAAAGCAGATATTTTGAAGAATGCTCACGCTGCTCTTTTCCAAGACCAGATATCGTCAAGGTCAATAGAAATTATTAAAAAATATTGGATGATTTAGTGTATATGAATTTCACATTTGCTTCAGATGTGCTTGTGATCTTTTTATTCAAATCAAACAGAAACCAATTGTAAAAAAAAAAAATCTAATTTTAAAGGGAAAAGTAGGCAGTTTATCAACCAACAGCCATAATCTGAAAATGCACAAGTATTGAATGATTAATAAGCCCAACTAATATGCATTATCAGATAATTACTTGCCTGCATTTTCCTGCATGAGCAGTTTTAGTACTTTTATTGATTGTACTCTTACAAACAGCCATGTGGTGGTTTGTTTACCCTGAACCATAAAAGCAGATCACAATCATCTGTTAAAGCGCTCGTTCAGGCCATTATCGGTGCTCTAATGAGGCCATTAGCCAAACCCCTGAGTCGTGTGTTCCTCAGCCCACAGAGATGGAGGTGGAGTCCCAGGTTCACCTGTACGGTCACACGGCCGAGGTCACGGGCCTGTTCGTCTGCAAACCCTACAGCATCCTCATCAGTGTGAGTCGGGACGGCACCTGCATCCTCTGGGACCTCAACAGGTTTGTGCTCATGACATCACTTTAGTCTGATGCCATGGAAATATAACCCTTTGTTGCAGTATTTTCCATGTTGTGTTGCAGTAATGAGTGTTTGTTGTGTTAGGCTGTGTTACGTTCAGAGTCTCACGGGTCACAAGAGTCCAGTGAACGCAGTGTCCGCCAGCGAGACGACAGGAGACATCGCCACAGTCTGTGACTCAGGTGACTGAGGAAATACTAGTACATGTGCTAAAAAAGATGAATTTGTAGGCAATCCAAAAAGTGCTTTACACAGAAAGGAATTAAAATGATCACAACATAAAAGCAAAAATTAAAACACTTCTCATCTGGCACAAAAATGGGTGTATCATATTTTGCACCGCTGCTTTCATTTTGAAATAAGACTCCAGATCATCACAGAAATGGAAACTAGTTGTGATCTGGGCTTGAACAGCTGGAGGTCAAGGGTAAAGTCTGATTTTGTTATTACACTAGTTCTGCAGTCATTCCTTGTTTCATGAGTAAACTCTGAGTAAAATGCTGGGTTGTTTTAACCCATGTTTGGGTCAAAAACAAAACAGTGTAAAAGGAATTAAAATAGAGATAAAGATGATACAGTTGTAAAAGTAATTAAAGGGATAGTTCACCCAAAAAATAAAAATCCTGTCAGTAATGATTTTCCCTCATGTTGTTCAACCCCGTTCATCAAATATCTTCATTTGTGATTAAATCTGAGAGCTGTCTCACTCCTCCATAGGCTTCTCTGTTCTTGAAACTTGCCGGCCCAGAAAAGTTATTAAAGACATCGTTAAAATAGTCCAAGTGGCTCAACCTTAAGTTTATCAAGCGACGAGTAGTGTTGCTTTCGTCAACGAAAATTATGACTAAATATTAGGGCTGGGTATTGAGACAAATTTCACAATTCGATTTTTGCAATTCGATTCGATTTCGATTCAATATCGATTATTTTGGATATCAGTTGCAATAAATGGCCATTTTTCTCAAAGAAATCAAATCTCTGAACTAATGCTGTAAACTATGGGAGTCTAGTTGTAGCCTATAGACTTCATTAGCCTAATATGAAGGTAATAATGAACTGTTTTTAGCTAAAATTAAAGCACTTAAATTGCACATTTATTTATTTTTATAATAAGAAGATTATATGAAATATAAACATTTAAATGGTGACTGTCATAAAAACTTGCCAGATTTATTCAAATATGCATTAAATATTGAAGAACATTAAGATTATAATGCATATGTAATATGGTGTATATATTTAGCGAAATGCTCCTCTCTAGAGTTATTTTTTCTAGCTGACTAACGAGTTTATGTGGGTTTTCTGAGGTAAATATGACGATACATTGATTACAAGCTGTTAAACTGACGTCTTTCCACGGTTGAAACGCTGATTGTGAATCAATGTGACATGATCCGGATTTGGATAAGTTGTACTGTATCTTTAACACACTTTCAGATGCTCATTCATGTTTATTTGGCGCTGTGACTGGTATTATTAAGCCGGAAGAGAGATCAGCGCTGCTGCTTCTCCAGAGCGATCTCACGCCACAGCGACAAAACACTATTTATGTTTTTGAATTTCTAAAGAAAAAGGACGTAATTTGAAAATTGAGACTTTGTTTCATATCAATAGTAACAAAGGACAAAGATTATTGCGATTTTTTTGGATGCGCGCAGCCGCGATACAATGATCCATTCATTCAAATGAAACAGGATGACTAATCGATTCTTGAGATTTAAGAATCGATATCGGTTCGTAAAAATGAGAATCGATTAATATCGAGAAATCGATATTTATTACCCAGCCCTACTAAATATTGTCGTCAACGAACCTTTATCACGTGACGAAAACAAGACGCAACGTAAATGCTGGTCGTGTGACGATGACGATAACTAAATGTATAATGCAATATCGTTGACGAATAAAAACGAGACTAAATGTGGTTTCAAAAATAAAAACTATGTAGGCCGGTATGCACGCTCATAATGGAAGCTTGTTTTTTCCAAGCGCGCCCGCGCCACATCGAGATAAAAACATCTCAACTTTTCAGAATGCCGTAAGCGCACCGTAGGTCACATGACAAGAACCAACCGAAGCGCGACCGCCCTAGCACTTACTGTGAGGTTTTCCATGTTAATTGGACTGTGTATATAATGATGTCTCTGTGTGTAGTGGGTGGAGGAAGTGATTTGAGGCTGTGGACGATTAATGGAGATTTGATCGGTCATGTTCACTGTCGAGAGATCATCTGTTCGGTGGCGTTCTCCAATCAGCCGGAGGGAGTGTCTGTGAACGTGATCGCTGGCGGGCTGGAGAACGGTGTGGTCAGGTACAACACTGACCCCAAACCCCACACACTACACACTCTTTTAGCTAGATTGGGACCGAATGTTTTTATGCGGTAAATTAAAACGACTTTGGAAACCAGGTTGAATTTGATGAAGCATAACACATGCACACATGCATGAAAAAGTTGATATCATTTGGACTTCCTGTGTGCATTATTTTTTAATATTATGGTAACATTTTACAATTAGTTCGCATCAGTTAATGTATTAACTAACTACGAGCAATACATTTGTTACAGTATTTATTAATCTTTGTTAATGTTGGTTAATAAAAATACAGTTAACAAGATTAGTAAATGTTGAAATTAACATTAACAGAGATTCATAAATGCTGTATAAGTGCAGTTCATTATTAATTCATGCTAAATAATGTAGTTAACTAACAAACCGTGTAAAGTGTTTTTATTATTGCCCAGCCATATTGAATAAGTTCCATAAAAACAGCAGAAATCATTGTTTTAAGACTCTTATCAATGCTTTTCTTTCCTTTTCTCTGTCAACATTTTTAATTCTCTACTTGTTTCTGTCTGTCTTGTCCACGTTTCCGCTCAGGTTGTGGAGCACATGGGACCTGAAGCCAGTCAGAGAGATCACCTTCCTGAAGTCCAACAGGCCTATCATCAGGTACACACCTGCACCTCATGACCTCACAGATTTGTGCTTATATCTTGATTAAAACAGTAAAATGCATCTATACACTACCAGAAGTGAACAAAAGTTTGGAGCAATTAAGATTTTTTTTTTTAAAGGTATTTATTTGATCAAAAATACAGTAAAAAGTGTGAAATATTATTATAATTTAAAATTGCTGTTCTTCTATGTGAATATATAGTAAAGTGTAATTTATTCCTGTGATAAAAGCTGAATTAATCCAGTCTTCAGTGTCACGATCCTTCACAAATCACTCTAATATGATGATTTGCAATTATTAATTATTAATCATTATTATTATTGATGCTCAATTGATGCTCAAACATTTTTTTTAGGATTCTTAAATAAACAGAAAGTCCAAAAGAACAGCATTTATTTAAAATAGAATCTTTTGTAACATTCTAAATCTCTTCACTGTCACTTTTGATACATTTAAAAAGTCCTTGCAAACAAAAAAAAAAAACACTATAATTATTATGATTTTATTATTGTTGTATTTAAATCTAATTTACCTCAAACTTACGTTTTTGTTTTTTGTCAACACTGATAATAATCAAATGTTTGAATGATCATGTGACACTGAAGCTTTGATCACATTATTTTGATTCACATAGAAAACAGCCGTTTTAAATTGTAATAATATTTCACAATTTTTCCTGTTTCTGATCAAATAAATGCAGCCTTGGTTTTTATTTCCAAACCAAAAAGTGCATTATTTGTCCGTAATGACGTTTCTCCTCTTGCAGTCTCACATTCTCGTGTGACGGACACCACCTGTACACGGCCAACAGCGAGGGGACGGTGATCGCGTGGTGCCGACGAGACCAGCAGCGCATGAAGCTGCCCATGTTTTACTCTTTCCTCAGCAGTTACGCTGCAGGCTGATCCCCGTGCTGGACAGAACGAGCGCCGAGTGACCCCGCTGACCCCGAAAGAGGAGGAGCCAGAGGCACAAGCCCCGCCCATGACCATCACAGGATCCGCCCCCTGATTCGCCATGGAAATGCACGGCACTTTACGCAGTGCTGTATCACAAAGAGCGTGTGAAGAGTGTTTCCATACATGCGTCGGGGGTCGTGAGGCGGAGCGAGCGCAGGCCTTTTCCGCCGGATCTTTTCGTTCGTTTTGTGTTTGGTTTGACTGAGGATTCACGTCGTAGTGTTTGTTAGTGAGTCCGTGTTGTTTGATTTTTGAAAGCTGCTAGGGTCTGGTCCGTTTGAAGGCCCGTTTCTCTTCCCTTCCTTATTAAGTCCCTCGTCTTCGCTATCCTGAGAATAGAGATCCTGCTTTTGGAGCCAGACCAGACTGAGATCATCTAAACACTACCGTCTGCATTGGTCATCGGCATGCTCGCGAAGTGACAGAATGAATGTGTGCACGCAATGCCTTGTTAAACTTTCATTGTAATATTTATTCTCAAACAAGGATGGAAGCGTGTCTCTCGCTCTTTATTATAATATGCACTTCAGACGATACGAAATGATGCGCTGTGAAGTCACTCAAGTAGTCCTGAAATAATAATATTTATTCTGTTTTTTTGTTGTTGTTTTTTTTACACCAACTCAACCCGAACGCCCGGTTGCCAGTTAATAAGTGCATCTAATTTATTAAAAACATGCTGAATCTGTTCAGTTGTGTTATTAATTATTGCATGTTGTGATCAAGCATGATCTATCATTGTCAAATCAGATCTACCTTTAGGACCAAATCGCTCATTTGTTTGCAACTTTGCAATAAAAACAACCTGATTACTGTACAAAGGCAAAGCAATATCACTAAACAATTACACAATTTCAAGTCTTAAGTGTCAGTCAGCCTTAAATGTGGAGGAAAAACAACTGAAATTAAGTAAACGAGCGTCTGTTCTCTTAACATGACCCACAGCGTTCTGTTTTTTCTGATTGCAATTAATTTAATGAGCTCGTCTTACATTTTTAGTGTTAACCAGAAAGGGAATGCTTTCACCTTTTTGTTTTGCATTATTTTCAGAAATATCAGACACGTGTATCACTGAAGTGAGAGTCCAGAGCGCCAGCACTTCAAAGAGAGGTAGTTCGAGAGAGTTATGCGCTCGTTTTATGTTTTTATGTTTATGTATAAAATCTGTTTTCCATGCTCGCATTACATACATATATCTCTTAATTATTGTGCACAGTGTTGTCATGTTTGCAGTTCCCTCAGAAAGAGATTGATGTTACTGTCATTGTGTGAGTTGTTGACTGAGTTTGTAAAGCAAGATGTGAATTTGTTTTTGACAAAACTATCACGAAAAGGCTTATTGTTATCAGTCGAATGTTGAATTAACAGTGGTTTATGTAAATTAAGATTGATTATGTTCACCAAAGGCCTGGCTGGGACGTTTCTAATTTTTTTGTATTTATGAAATATGTAATAAAATGTCACGTATATAATATATATATATAAATATTCAAGAAATTTTAATTCTGTTTGTTGCACTTGTTTCTCATGTTCAGTGTTAAAAATAAAGGTTTTGCAATAATGCCGTAGAACCATTTCTGGTTCCCCAAAGAACCGTTCAGTCAACAGTTCTTACAAGAACCATTTTTAGTTTCAAGAACATTTTAAAAATCCTAAAGATACTTTTGCGTAATTGAAAAGTTCCATTGATGTTAAACATTCTTCATAGGAAAGATCCGTTCTATTGTTATTTTGTATTCTAAATAATCCTGTTCTACATTTACCAGTTCCTTTAAGTTCCATTATATGCTAGTTCTATTCAATCATTTTTTAACAAATTGCAAGATATTAAAAATATATATATATATATATATATATATATTCTTTTTTAATTTTCTTTATTTAAACATTTAGTTGGAGAATACAAAAGAGCCAGGGGTTCAGGGATGGACAGATATTACATCACATTTGAATTGGGAGGAAAAAAATATACATTAAACATATAAATAAATGTGGAAATATTGGAATATGAATAAAAATAAATCCTTGCCACAAAACGTAAAATAATATTAAATAAAGATTACACAAAACGTGAGCATACATTCATACAGGAGGCAGACAAGGATTACAATAGACTATTAAATTGGGGGACTGATGCGAGAGATTTCCACGCGCCCAACATCTGTGTTACGTCACCGTGCGAGTGTTTTGGAGGCGGTTACGTCATCCCGGTGACTGGGAGACCCGGTGATGTCACATTAAGCAGGGAAACCTCACGTGCCTCGGATGCGCCCTGCAGAATAATGAGCCCTAGTGATCCTCCTGCGATACTAAACATCATCTGATCTGATAACACACACACACACACACACACCGATACTGGAGGACGCGCGCGAAGTGAACCGTCTGATTTCTTAAAGGCGCAGCGACACCTGCATCCTCGCGCGCCGCGTTTGTGCGTCACATCGAGGTTCCCCTCCTCACATCCCATGAACCGACACCGAATCGACCAGCAGAGCAGAAACCGGGGAAATACTCGACGTTTGACGGCGTTCGGCGGATGCACGCGAGCGGACGGTGACCGTGTGTGTGTGTGAGGTGTGTGTTGCGGGTTTTTCCTCGTCGCGTTCGGGTGGAGTCGAGCCACATACTGAAGTCTGACCACTGACACACTCCAGGTGGGTGTTAACACGCGTTCCTGTGCCTCGCCAGGTATTTGTGCTCGTTACGTAGATTCGAATGTTCTATTGCGTAATTTTTGGAACGTTTGAGAGTGCAACATTTGTAACAATTCCAGCGTTCCTGACGTGACCGCGGGTTTATGGGCAACGGTTTTGCTTATTATCTCATGGCCAATACGAGCTATAAACGCGCTCGTGTTGTAGATTTGGGATGAGGGATGATGGATGGATGGATGGATGGAGACATGTTTGGTGTTTTGGGAATGAAGCTGGAATGACCAGAAGCGCGTGAGAGCGAAAGATGGACGCGCGCGAGTCTCTTGGGCGTTTGATTCCATCGGCTGGAATTCCGCCTTTATAATCGACATGATGATGATGATGAAGATTCGGATGTTCAGTGATGAGCTTCACGAGCTCTGTGATGGCCTTGAATGGAGGAATATCACGACCCTCGTGTGTTTTTGCTGATTCTAGATTTTGTCACATGTCGCCTATACAGATAGCAAGCATTAAACATTACAGCTAAATAGCTTTAATGGTTTATGATTTACTGTATTGAGATTAACGCACACGTTTCAGTGCAATGGTTGTTTGTGGCCTTTATTCAGCACTGTATCTTTATGAATGTGTAGATGTACATGATGCACTGAGGGTTAAAAGGGCTGTTATGAGGCTCGTGAGATTCACTTGACTGCTGTGTAGAGATTTATTTGTGAAAATAATACAAATGAACTTCATAATGAACCTCTATAATCCATAGCTGCTCCTCTGACCTGTTTTGATAGGTGTTATTGGAGCTGTTAGTTGGGAAATGTGATTGATGGAAACATCAGGGGAGCGTAACATGACTGTGATTATTCTATTTCTGTCAGTGAGCTTTTCTAATTGATCAAAAAAATACAGTAAAAATAGCCAAATTGTGAAATATTATTACAATTTCAAATATCTGTTTTCTATGTGAATATATAGTAAAGTGTAATTTATATCCTGTGATCAAAGCTGAATTTTCAGCATCATTACTCCAGTCTTCAGTGTCACATGATCCTTCAGAAAACACTCTAATATGATGATCTGATGCTCAAGAAACATTTATGATTATTATCAATGTCAGATTTTTGTGATAACCATGATATATATTTAAAAATGTACATTCCATTCAAGCTTAAATGGAATTAAAAGAATAATAAATCAATGATCAGAGAAGTGCTGTTCCTCATTTATTTACTGAACACAGCTTGAGTTTGTAATTTGAACCGTGCGAGGCACCTACAGTAATCTAAAGTCATGCGTGGGGTCACAGGTCACTCGTCATGCGTGGTCACTCATGACTGTATAATCAACAGTGCATTTTTTGTTCACCTTTTCTCATATATCTTGGAGAATCGCAATAATATCGTATCGTGAGTTCAGTATCGTGATATGTATCGAATAGCCCCTATTTAAATTTTTGGGTGAACTATCATAACAACTTTGACATAATGGCTTTGTTAATGCCGTTTCACTCGTATATACGTCACAATAGGGAAGACTTTGCAGGATATTCCCGTTGTGTTGACACTCGCTGGGGTTTGTGACTGTCATGTGATCTGTGTGCAGGACTCAATCATGAAGGACGGCATGGCCAATAACAGCACCGCCAGCATCTCTCAGGCGCGGAAAGCCGTGGAGCAGCTGAAGATGGAGGCCTGCATGGACAGGATAAAGGTCTTTCTTTTAAACTAGTTCAACATGTTCATGATGTTATAGCTTTGCGAATGATTGAAGGACTTGCTTTGTATGTTGGACCCTGGAAAACTGGGGTGAAAACACAACTAAAGAGCACTTTGGGATTTTTATAAGCTGAATATAATTGAACGTTTGATTCATTTATGTCTTGAAGCTGGTTTGTAATAAACACAAACAAATTGTTAACGATTAATCAGTGAAAAAAGCACAACTTTCGTTTTAATTGACGTTTTTGAAACATCTTATTTTTCACTGACGCTTTTGACCATCCAATAATTTATTGATGGATAAAAAAAAAATATTATTATTTTTTTTATATACCGTTTCAAATGAAAATACGTCAAATTAAAGGAGCAATGTGTGACTTTTAGCGACATCTAGTGGTTCGGTTGCGAGTTTGCACCAGGTTTGCACTAAGGGCTCCGCCCACTGCTCACCCCTCCCTTTCGAAGAAGCTACGGTTGCGAAAACGGGACAAACATCTCGTCGGCTGAGACAGCAGAGAATAGCCAGAGTAAGCCAAGAGTGTGTAACATTGTCACTGTTTCTGTACCACAGTCCATTATAAACCACATCATGAATACTGTCTGTTTACAAAGCCATAGTCAGGTGAGGATCAAGGGTTTTAATATATAATTTAATAAAATAATAATCAGCTGATTGTCTCACAAACGTAACCAGCAGCACATTTCTCCCCACATACTGTAGCAAACCCATAATACAGCGAGGGAGCAGCTATATATTTTTTCTAACAGGGTAGTAATAGTTTAGCTGGCTAATATGAGCTGTTACTGTGGCTGAGCTGGGACGCGTCTGCATGAGTCCAAAGGTCGGAACTGCGCGCGCTGTTACAATCATGTCATCTCCGCATCCCATAGATACTATTTACTACACACAATAGGCTTTTTTTCTCTGATTTTTAAAATTCTTCGCGATCGACTTTAGTGATAAAAGACTTTAGTAAAAGTCTCTATCGACGGGTTAGTGATTCCTGTAACGTACTGTTTTACGGTCAATGACATGAATACTAATCATCAGCTGTCTCACGAACGTAACAGCACATCTATCCCCAACATAACAAACCCATAACACAGCGAGGGAGAACTAAGTTACATGAAACAATCCCAAATACATATTTTACACCACTCACAAGGGAAAAGTCACTACTCACGGAGTGTAAGGCTAGCTTCCAGCTTTCCGCTACTTCTCTTTCAAGGTAGTGATGAAACGCGTTCTGTAGCGCTGTTTGTTCGCGTTCGGCTACGGTAGGAATATGACGTCACAACATGGCGACCTTCATAGAAGGGGATTCCCGCGGTTATGGAGCTATTAATGTCTCATTCTAAGGTAATAAAAACATTACGGCTAATTAAGTAAGTTCTTTATACACCACTGAAAACATAGTTATGGATGTCATATTGCATTTCTGTTAATAGATACTCAACTTTGTTACACATTGCACCTTTAAAGGGGAAAAAAGTAGGGCTGTCAAACGATTAATCGCATCCAAAATAAAAGTTTGTGTTTACATAATATATGTGGGTGCACTATGTATAATTATTTTATATATATAAATACACACACATGCTTGTATATATTTAAGAAATATTTTCATGTATATACTGTATATAGATTTATATTAAATTTATATTATATATAAATATAAATATTATTTTTTTTCTTAAATATACAAGCATGTGTGTCTTTATATATATACAAAATAATTATGCACAGTGCACCCACATATATTATGTAAACACAAACTTTTATTTTGGATGCGAATAATCACGATTAATCATTTGACAGCCCTAAAAAAAAAAGTAAAACCTCTCAAAAAATATTTAGGCCTAAACAAAAGATTTATGCATTTGAATTGCATATAAAATTTCCATGCATTTGGATTACACAGTAACTTGATTACACATTAATTTAATTAACTTAATGCGATTTTGTATTTTTCAGTCATAGATAAATTAAACCGGAAAGATTTCTACACTAAGAAAACTATTTGCATCTATTAGATTTTATTTAAAACTCATATATTTTCACCCTGCATCTATTTCAGATTGCTTATAGTGTACATTTATTGAGTTAAACAGTATGAACATGGTTAAATATGGTGTGCTGTGGATCAAACTATATTCTATTTGTTAAAATGTGTGAGATTGAAACAAAT